CATCCCAACCCTCCTCACCGCCCCCAGCCCCTCTCATGCCCCCCGCCCCTGCTGTCCCTGCTGCAGTGGCTCTTTCCCCTGCTCTGGGACCCCAGGCCGGGCTCTGGTGCTGCTGTGCTGGAGGCTGGAGCCACTGCAGGGGCTCCAGGCCTGCACAGAGGACCCATGGACTGGTCCTGCCGCAGAGTCAGCAAAGCCAGGCCGGATCCATGCTCGGGACACAGGCGAGGGGGAGGCTGTGGTGTCTGCAGCCGCCCTGCAGCACCCGCAATACCAGGTGGCACCCTGGGCCGTGAGGGGACACCAGGGTCTGCTCCACCAGGGTCTGCTCTCTGCAGAGCCCCTGACTCCTCACTTGCAGCCAGCACCATGGGAACTCGCTGCCCGCTCAGCCAGGCTGGTCCCTGCCCGGCCACCGCCAACGCAGGAGCCGAGGGCTTGAGCGGCCCCGTGGAGCCCGTCAGCACCGCAGAGCGATCGTGCTGACTTTGATGGGAACGGGAACGGACATGTCACTCTGCAGACCGCAGACACAAGCCCTGGAATGTTTACTGCAACCCCCTCCCGCAGCGCCCGTCCTGCCGCCCGTCACAGCGTGTTGCCGGAGCGGTGCCACGGGACATGACACGCGTGTCAAATGCGGTGCGATCCAGGCTGGCACCCCGCACCGCGCCTGCCCGCCGACACGTTCCCGCTACCTTTCCGAGCGCGGTTTCACTGCTGTGCGGTTTCCTCAGCAACAACAGCGGCCGTCCCCGCGAATGCCACCACACAACACACGTCGAGCGAGAGCCGGCCGCGGCGCTGCCGCCTGCCCCGCGCTGGCTCCGGCCCTGGGCAGCGCGACACGCAGCAGGCGCGGGGACGGCAGCGTTCCCGGTGCCACTGCTGCGCGGTGCCACCTGCGAGCGGTTAGACAGCTGGCAAGAAGGACGGAATAAGGAAGGGAAAGACACCACCGAGAGGTGCAGGGGCGGTTTGAACACTGGTTTTTCCTGCGCCCGGTGGGAGCCACTCGGCCAATGTCCGATGCAGCCCCTCACTCCGCTCCCCTGGTCTGCGCAGAGAGGCCTCTCGAACCCGGGGTCAGCCCTTTGCTCGGAGCAGTTCTCATCACCTTTGTTTGCATTGTAGTAAACTCCTAAGATACCCAGATAATAACATCACTGCCATGGTAACGAGGAGGGAAAAAAGGAACAAATAGTGAATTTGTCATGCAAAAAAGCCCACAGAATGGCAAGAGCTGCTAGCGGTACAGACAGAGCGGCCAGGCTCCGAGTGCGTCTCGTGGAGCTGGGTTAGAAAACACGGCTCCTGCTCACAGCGTCCGCTCCGGAGGGATGAGGAGGGCGGGTGGCACCGTGGCCGGAGAGCCCCGGTGCCCGCGGCAGCCCTGCCGGGGCGGCGACACAGCAGGGCGCTGGTGGGCAGCGGGTTTTCTCTCTCCCACATAGCACACAGGCTAGGATACAGCACATACAGGAAGGATGCTCACTGCCCCTCAGACAGGAAACTCAGGCCGGGACCACTTTATTGGTGGGAAAACAGGGAGATTGTGAAAGGAATAGTGAGCTGCATCCCCTGAGGCTGCTTTAGTGGGCATTGCTCTAATTAACGCTGCATTAATTGGCGTTTACCTCAGACCTTTGATTAACAGTGGAGAAAATCAATAAGCACACTAAAAATTCGGATACGTTTCATGGTTAATTTTTATTTCACATTTTAATCTTGTATTAACGTCAATCTTAATTACCGTAATTAAGTCAGATGTGACTTAGCAGGAGCAGTTGGGAGATAAGAGCTGTTAGCAGAGGCTGATGCTGCTGGTGCTGCCACAAGCTGCCAGGCCTGGACTCCGCGGGCATCGCATCCATTGCATCCATTGCATCCATTGCATCCCTTGTATCCATCGCATCCGTTACATCCATTGCGCCCCTCCTGTCTGCGAGCTGCTCTGACTGCAGCCCTAGTGAGGAGCGTCCCAGAAGCAGTTCGCTCCCGGGCTCACCGCTTTGGCCTGTGCAATGGGCAGGACTAAGGGCTGCAGCAGGATGGGAATCCCATTAACCCCGATCACGCAGCGCTCCGGAGCAGCGCAGGGTCTGCCCGAGCCCGGCGCGGTCCCTGCTGCAGCGCCGCCCGCTCGGGATGGCTGGTGCGCTCTGCCCCAGCCCCTTGGCATGCTCCGTGCGAGCAGCCCTGCTCCCTGACCACGCAGGAAATCGATCCCTCATTTATTTTCCTCACAGTGATGCAACCGCTCGGCGATGCCGCATTAGCTTTGCAGTTACAGCTATTGATTGCAATCCGTCCTCGGTGCTCTGCACCCGCCAGGGCCCGGATGGCCCCATCCTGCCGGGTTTGCACGGATCGGGGGGCCCAGAGGAGAAGCCCTTATTCCTCAGCAGCAGCAGACGCCTTTGCACCAATATTGTGCATCAGCTTTAGACACAGCTTCCACATTATTCCAGGCTTAAGCCCCAGCAAGGCAAGGCTTCAACCAGCCAGCAGAGCAGGGCAAGCGGCTGGCGAGCGCTGCCGGCTGCATCCTTGCAGGGACAGCGTCTATGGCACTGCCACTTCCAGCAGCCGCATACGGACCTTCCCCACAAAGGTGTGAGGAGCAACACCCGTGCCCGCGGTCGATACCGCGCCGCTCCGTGGAGGCCTCCTCATTTGTGCCGCCGACCGCTCTGTTTGCCGCAACATCGGTATTCGCAGCAGGCCGCCGCCGGCGGTTATTTATTGCATCCCGTACAAATTGCAGGATAAGTTACTCCGCACCGGACACCGTAACTGGTATTGCAAACTGGATTTGTGAATTCATGAGCACACAGAGCTTACGTTGTTCTGTCTAGTCATTTTTCTTTTCGCAAAATAAAAGCAAGTTTTGTTGGAAGTTCCTAACAGGGAGACAAAGCACCGCAGGGCTTCTCTGCGAGTCTCAGCCACTTCTCGCCTCTGTATTTCCCCTCACTGGCTCTAACAGAGCTGCTATTTTCTTTCAGGAGATGTCCTGGATTTCTCCCTCCTGCCAGGGTCTCTCCAAGCCCTCGGGACGCCCTGGCTCCAGAGCAGGGAAGCTGAGACACTTGATGCCTCAAATTTGCTCCCTAGAATGTTAAAAACGCTCGCCTCTTGCAGGACAAGGCTCTCGGGTTGAATAGTCCCTGGGATACCAAGGAAATCGGAGGGATTCAGGCAAGCACGGATGGCTAAGTGAGCAGAACATTTGGGCAACCCAGGCTAATGGGTGGAGAACAAGCCAAATCAGAGAAATAGGAAAGGAGAAGAAAGAACAGATTACAATTAGCAATTAATAACTCCGGTCTTACAGGAACAGTTTTTATCAAAGGAGCTGATTGCAGTCTTTGGAGAGATTATGCATTTGTTGGAGAAAGGCACCCGAAGGGCTGTTGCAGCCCTCAGCAAGCGGCACGCTGCAGTGCGAGCAGCTCTCCCGTGAGCAGGACGGGGCCGTCGCGACACGGGCATCCCAAGCAGGTCAAGAATGGGCTCATTCCAGACCTCAGAAAGCAGCCAGCAAAGAGGAGTCGTCTTCATGTGGAGGAATTAGTAGTGAGTCCTTCAGGATGGGTGCTTAGCTCACATTGTCCCTTACCAACTGCAGGTAAATATAAAATCACTACTGATTAAATTTACAAGCGAGAAATGAGCAGGATGGCAACTCCTGTTGAGCTGCATCGTCGCACAGCACAGTCCAGATCACAGTGCAGGATGAATTATTCAGATGAAACGTATTCTAACCTGTCAAATGACAAATGATGTGCCAAGAGGTAAAGGACTTCTGCAGAGAGCGATGTGCCCGGAGAGGCGCCTGGGTGGATGTGCAGGGTTGAAAGCCTCATTGTACCAGCACACCGTGACTCCAGCAGCATTTTCCTCCTGCTTTAGCACCCTCTAAGCATGCAGCAGATTCAGGTCAGTGCAAGGGGCCAGACCCACTTCATCCCTTGCAGATCAGCCTGTGGTTCCTTATTCAGGAAAAGACCCTAGCGGGGTTTTCTAGAGAGGCTGGTGACCCCAGGCCGAGCTCGCTTGTGCTGTAGTATCATATAAACACAATGCTATTTATTACGGGGGATTTTTGCAAAATAAGATTTTAGCCTCTTGGAGCTATTACCTGCTCGTTCTCGTTCTGCCTTTATGCCGCTCCATGTGTCACAGTGATGAGGGGCTTGTGATAAAGCCACCAGCAGCCACTAAGTGCTGCCATATAAATGTCTCTGCTGAAATAAAAGTGCTTTTGCTCTCCAGCACCTGCCTAGGGGCTGCTAAGAGGGTTCTGTGGAGGCTGCCGGGCCTCCTCACCTCTCCCTGCGGTCGGGGCCCGGCGTTCACACACCGAAATGCAGCACGAGCCGAGACGAGATGAGCTAATGTACTGCAAGCACCAGCCGTCTCGTCAGGGAATCTCTCTGCAGCAAATGCAAATCTTTCTGCCTAGTTTATTGCGTTATGTCGCCCATTAACCCTGTGCTCTGCCTGTCGGCAGTGGCAAGGGGCCGGAGGCTTTGGGCAAATGTTTGCGCAGGGAGACGGCCCTGCAGCTGAGAGCGTCCCGTATATCTCCCACATTTCCCAGCACAGTGTGAGCAGAGCAGAGCACGAGCCTGCATGCACAGCTGGGAGCAATCACCTGCAGCCTTCACGTGCAAACTGGAGGGCACGGCTGCAGCCTGCCTGCATGCACAGCTGCAAGCACTCACCTGCAGCCTGCATGCACAGCTGCAAGCACTCACCTGCTGCCTATATGTGCATGGTCACAAGCTGCTCCTTTGAGAGCTTGTGGTTTGGTGTTCAGTTTCCTGGCAATGGTTAAATCTCTGGTGCCCCAATTCTGGCTAGTGGGAAGCCATGTGTTTTTGGACGATGCTCTTGGCCAGGCACTCAGATACTTGGCAGAGGGAAGCAGTTGTCATGGAAGGGGTTGCAGGCTTGGCCTTAGCCCTCCAGAAAGGTTCCTTCAGACACCTAGCTGCACTCGTGACACTGATGACAGCGACAACTGCAGCAGGACAGAGACTTCTCCCTGTCCGTGTTGCCACAGGAGGCAGCACCTGTTTGGTGTTTGGAGTTGGGTATCCAGGGCCTCTCCGTCCTTCCGACACCTCCGGAGCCAGCACTGCCTCCCACAGGACACCTTCGGGCTGGTGCCTCTCCGGGGAAACAATAGCGATGGATCGAGCTGCTTGTCCCTTCTCTGGGGAGCAAGGAGGATGGCATCTGTCCCTACGAGATGACATTAAATATGGAGGTAATTCTGTCTCCGAGAGCTAACCCCAAGCAGCCGTTACTGCAATTACTCCGAGCAGTGCAGGATGATACTCCATAATTACTGAGCTCTTTCATCTGGGGATCTCGGAGTACGCGCTCATCAAGTAATTAAGCTTTGTGCCAGCGCCAGCAGCCGTGTGCAGCGTGCGGAGAGGAGCGGCTCCCCTCCGGAGCACAGCCTGCAGCGTGGGGACAGGCATGGCACAGCGCATGGCAGCGTGGCACGGTGCAGAATGGCATGGCATGGCATGCATGGTGCCACACAGGAGTGAGATGTTGGAATTCTCTTGGATTTTATATTTGCTAGGCTCTTTGGTGTTATAGAAACCTGCCTGTTTGGAGATTGGTGTCACCCTGCCCCTCATCCAGCCTGGCTGCCAGCACCATGCCGGGCAATTCTTTCCCTTTAAGACGGATTTTTCATTGCCTGGAGCTAGATTTTGGAGTAGCAGCTCTCCAAAAGTGAGAGCGTGGAGTATCTGGGTGGCGGTGGGCTCTGTCCTGCTTGTGGCAAAGCTGTTTGCCAGCTCGCACCCAGATTCCCACTCTGGGCTCCCGGCTGTCCATCCCTCCAGAGCAGGTCCCTGGCGCAGCTGGAGCAGCTCCTGCTCCCTGCCCGGCCCACGGGCTGTCCCTGGAGAGGCGGCTCTGGTGCCTCCATCCCCGCTGCCACCGGCGTGTTCGGGGACAGGAACATCCCCAGCGAATGCAGCCAGTGCCGGGGCCGCAGCCAGCGGAGGCAGCGCCCGCTGCGGGATCTGAGTAATTACATGGGAACAGCCAGTTCCCAGACACAGCTGCAGTTGTCTTAAACCTCCCTTTTATTTCTCAAATTTGCCTTGCTCCAGCCCTCGCAAGGGCTCTGCTCCCGTCCGCTCTGCGAGCCGGCTGAGCCGGCAGCCGGAGGAGACAGCGGCTCTCCCGGGTCAGGAGGAGGGCTGAGCGGTGCCCGCTCCTAAGGGTCTTTCATCTCTGTGCCACCTCATCCGAGGGCTGGGAAGCGGGAGCAAAAGCGCGTGGCCGCTGGCAGCCCCGACCGGCCCTGTGCTTGGTGCTCCCAGGATGGACCTGTCGCCCGTGTGTGCTGAGCGCGCTCGCCCTGCTCTAGGGGACCCCAGCTCACAGTGATCCTCTGCTAATTAGTATTCATCACTTCGGCTTTCCTTTAATGAGATTTTTCTCCCTGAGCTGGCCCTGCTCTTGCAGGAGTTGTTAGGAGGAGAGAGAAACAGCGGCAGGGTCGGATGTGTGCGAGCCCGCGCAGTGCAAGGACCGTGTGCCAGGGTGCCCAGGCTGTCCCCATCCAACACGAGTCCGGGTGCACCCGGGCTGGCTCCGCAGGTCCCTGCGCACACAGCGGGTGCTCCCCTCCGCGCTCAGCCCTGGTCCCACGCCTCCTTACAAGCAAGTCACTCCTGGCATGTTCTCACTTTCATTAACTTTTTTCTTTCCACTCCAGAAGAAGGTCTCCCTTTCCTCCTGACTGCTCTAATTCCAACAGCAAGACGTGGGTGTTGATGAGCGACGGGGATTAGCAGGAGCTGGGAGGATCCCTGGCAGAGCACACGGTGCTTCCCGGCAGAACCTGCTCCTGCAGGGCTGGAGTACAGGGCATCGTGCACAGAAGTGGCACCATGGCCATGGGCATCGTGCACAGAAGTGGCACCATGCAGCCCGTGCAGAGTGCACGTCAGGTCCGTATCCACACCATTTCCATGGGAATGGGTTGGCATGGAATAACGGGGGACACTGGCTCTGGGGCTCCCCATCTGTGTTGATTTTGAGGCCTTTCTGCTGGTGAGCAGAACCAAGGCAAAAATCAAACTGGGACTCTCCTTCCCTCCGGATTTCTTTCTTCAGGCTTCACTTGGTGCTATAATGAGCCAATCCATCTCAGGAGGCCCCAAGTGCTTATTAATTAATGCAATGATGGGGTGATTTGGCCATCATTAGAGCTGTCTTTCAGAGGGAGGCAGAGAAGCACAATCCTTTCCCTTTTTTCCCAGCCAGTGCTTGGCTTTCTGGTGCACGCTGCCTGATGCTGGTGCACAAGACATCCCTGGAGCAATTTCATGGAAGAGCCAGGCCAGGAGAGGACTGTGCAGGTCTTGAGGAGCAACATGAGACAGAGTGTCCAGTGATGGAGAAAATGGGCACTCTCCCTTGCTGGAGTCTCCTGAAGCCCATGGGAAAACACAGAGAGTCCCAAGATGGGACCAGGCTGCTCTGGGGAAGACACGAGCCGAGGTCCAGGCAGGTCAGAGCTTCTCCCTGCAAGAGCTCCTTCCTAAAGCTGTTGTCAATGCGCTGCTCATGGGATCCCATCACAGGAACCCTCCTTATTGCCAAAGAAACATGATCTCCACCAGAGCATCTTGGCTGGTTGGGCAGTGGGTTTGCCCATCCCCATGGAGCTGCTGCAGCAGAGCTGCCCTTGGGGCTGGGAAGGAGCAGCTCCCGTCGGGAATGTGGAAGTGAATGCACTGATTTTGCCACAGCCCTTGTGGAGCGATGCCGAGGCTGCTCGGTGCCGCGGAGCTGATCGCCCCTCGTCTGAGCTGAGTAGCTTGGTGAATTAAGCGCCATCCAAGAAAAATGTGTTTTAATATAATTTAGGGCAAAGCTGTAATCAAGAGATGCAAAATATAGGCCATGCTTTGCAAAGTGGGAGCTGGTGTCCCAGAAAGCTCCATCTCTGAAAATAACGCAGGAGCTGCAGGAAAGCACCAAGGAGCCATCGCTGGAGCTGGAGCTCAGGGCGGGAACAGCCCAGGCAGCCCCGGGAACCGCGGGCAGCTAAAAGGGTAAAAGGGAATGGGCAAGTAATGAAATGAGGGAAACTCTGCGAGTGCTGGGAAAAGGGCTCCAAAAGGAGCAGGGAGCTCCAAAGGTTCCATCAGGCTCCAAAAGGAGCTCGATGTGGGACAGAGCACAAGGAGCATCCAGAGACGCTGATCCCGGCGTGAGACCTTCCCAGGGATGGACCTGGTGACTCTGAAGGGCCCTTTAATCTATCGGGGACAAGCAGGAGCTGGCGCTGAAGCTGCAGCCGGGCACGCTGGTATTAGAACAAAGGACACATCTCTAATAGTGAGGGTAATTAACCACTGGAACAAATTATCAAGGGGAAGTGGTGCTTTCTAACTCGCTTGAAGTCTCCAAATGAAGACAGATTTTCTATTTTTTTTTTTCCAGAAGCAGCTTCTCTCGAGCACAAATTACCGGGCTCATTCCGGCAGTGACTGCGGGGATTTAATTGCCTGTGTGCGAGGTCAGTGTGGACGGAGCAGCCCCCGCGGCGCCGGGGCTGTTCCTCGCTGTGACCGAGGCCGGAGCTTTGCTCCCGCTTGTCCGTGCGCTCCTGAGCCGCAGGGCCTGGATGTTCCTCTGAGCGCATCAGCTCTGGGAATGCCGGCGATCCCAGGGTGTTCCCTAAAGCCCTTCCAGTCATTACTCCATGATTAAATAAAAAGCAACCCCTGCAACCCCTCCATGCTCCTCCTTAGGTGCTGGAGAGCAGCTTTCCCTCCAGGCAGTGGCATTTCCATGCGCTCCAGGATCTTTCCCAATGGGCTGCAAGGAGCTTCCCTGTTGTGCGCCCAGCGCGGGCTGCAAAGTCAAAGTGGTCACCCCTGCACAGCTGCTAAAGCCTCTAAACCGGGCCAAATCCCTGGGATTTGCGTGGTGCCGGGGCAGGAGCTGCTGCCGCCCCGCTCGGAGGAGAGGGGCTGCGCTCCTGCCGGATCCCGGGCAGGTTTTTGCGCCGCCGCTCGCGTGGCTCGTGGCACGGCCCCGGTCACACCGGGCGCTGGCAATGGCACAAGTCACAGCTGCAAGGCCCAGCTTAAACCCAGTGCTTGCACAACAAGACGACACTTGCTGCCTGCCCGAGGGAACTCGGCACTGTCTGCTTGGTGATGCTGGGAGCTGCATCCGCCAGCAGCATGGAGCGATCGCACCGAGATTAAGCACTTCCATTTAAGCACATTTTGTGGGTTTTCACTTTATTAAAATGCGGGCTACACTTCCAGGTAAGCAAATAGCTTTTGCAACTGTAAGCACATTTCATACGAATAAATAATTTATCTTGCTGTGTGTTTGCCACAGGCGACAGTATTCCAAAAAAGTCCCTTGTGAAGGCAGCACCGCGCACAGCAGCCCGATCCCGCCAGGCCGGAGCAGCTCCCGCAGCCACTTTGTGCCCACCATTGCAAAGGACATTCTGGTGCAAAGCAACTAACATGCACAGGTACCAAACCTCACGATCTCCCTTCCCAAAATAACAAATGTTTGAGTTATCTAAACATTTTAGCAAAAAAAAAAAAAAAAAAAAAAAATGTCCTAAGTGTGGTGCTATGCTGCCCTTTGCTGAGCCTGCTGATCCCTGGGCTCAGTGATCCCCGCTCCCGCGGGCACAGCATTGTGCCCTGGCCTTGGAAGTGGCACCCAGGGGACAGGAGCATTAACATTCCTTGCAAGGAGCGTTTGCAGCAACAAGAATTTGTCCCAGTTTTGGGTTTTACATTGTTCATACAAGTGATGTCTGGGCGGATTGAATTTGTATTGGCAGCGCCGGAGCTTTGCCACGGGAATGCAAATGAACGTCACACGAGGGAGTCTCTCCTTCTCTCCTCTCCTTCAGCCACCCCTGTGCTTTGCAGGGTCCCATCACGGCAGCCTGTGGCTCTGGAAAGGTTCCTGCGGTGGAATCGTCTCTTGCCAGCTGCTCTGCAATGTGCCGCAGCAGCGCGAGGACCTCTCCCTGTAATTAAGCTCTAGCTGTTCTTCCAGGGCTTTAACTCAAAGAAATCCCTCTCTTTCAAGTCTCAGGAGCAGCAACTAGTGCAGGAGAAGCCCTCTCCTCATAGGTGCCCTGCATGGCACCGTGCAATGCCCCTGACTGCTGTGCCACGGGAATGTCGCAGTTTGGAAGCCGCAGAGCTGGCACTGGCCCCAGTGTACAGAGAAACCCACCCTGCAGCAAGGGCTCAGGGCGAACAAGGATGATATGAGAGCCTGTGTGCTGCCTCTGTGCAGAGCCAGTGCAGGGCGATGCACCATGCACGGAGGAGCTGTGTCCCTGGGCGGGTTAGCGCTGCAGAGAGGGTCAGGGAGGATCCTCACTGCCCATCTGCAAATGCAGCCCTGCCTGGGCTGCTTCTGCAGCCCGCGGCGCCCACACTTCGCAAGCGGCACGGGCAGCGGCGGGCGTGCTGCAAACTCAGCTCTGTCTCCACACGGACAGATCTACACGAGACTGAGCTTTAAAAATAAAAGAAACAAAATTGAATTATAATAAATTAACACCGTTCCAGCCAAAAATCCCTTCAGTGAGAAGCAGAAAATAGAGGGAGGGTGCTTATGCACTGTATGCTATATATGTATTGCATCCTGCTCCCTGTATATTCGTCTTTGCTGCGCAGCTGTCCGGCCCCCAGGCCAAACCAGGAGCTCGTGGGGGCCCCGCTGGTTGTGCCAGGCTGCAGCAAAGGTAAAATTCAGCCTTGGCCCTGGCAGGACAGACCAGCCCAGCCTGACAGATGGCCCTAAACCTGCCAGCCGCTCGGCCCTGATCTGTGCAGAAGCAGGAGCGACGGGGAGCGCGCGGCGGGCAGGGATCCTGGAGCTTGCTGCCCCCGGCCCTCAGCCTGGCGTCAGGGCTGGCGCCACGCGGAGCTGCGCCAGGGCCCGTCTGCTCCCACCTTGCATTGGCACGTGGTGGCACAGGGCGGGCCGGAGAGACCGGGAATCACCGGTGCTCATGACCTGGCCAGCCCCGGAGATGGGTTTTTGAATAACAACAGGTGCTCTGAATGTTCCTCTAGCGGAGGGAGCTGCCAAGCTGAAAGAAAACTCCTGGATTTTTCAACACTAGGTGGAAGGGAAAAAAGTCCTCTGTGAAGCTGAGAGTGTTTAAACCGTGGATTAAAGGGCTGGTTCTCTGTATCTAGAAGCTGTGCAAGGATGCAAGTCCTGCAAGCTGTGCAGTCCGTGCAAGCCATGCAGTCCGTGCGAGCTGTGCAAGCCGTGCAGTCCATGCAGGGTGTGCAAGCCGTGCAGTGCATGCAGGGTGTGCAAGCCGTGCAGTGCATGCAGGGTGTGCAAGCTGTGCAGTGCATGCGAGCCGTTCCAGCGCTGGCAGCCCCAGTCCCACTGCCAGCCCCAGCTCCCTGCCCCACGCCCACAGCAGCAGGGATGCTCATTGCCTTCTGCAGAGCATCCTCGTCTGCTGCTGGCTGCACACTTAGAGCATCACCCACTTGTGAGCTAGCAACAGGGCAGCTCCACGTGCGTGCTGGGCAAACAGGCAGCTCACTGCCAGCTTCAAGGGCAAAGGAGCCTCCAGACGCCGCTGGAGACGAGCCCATGCAAGCAGCAGTGCTCCCTGGCTTGTCCTTAAAGCCTGAACAGAGCCATGTCAAGTGACAGAGCAATTTGTCCTGCAAAACAAAAGCAAAAGCAAAAAAAAAAAAAAAAAAAAAAAAAAAAAAAACCGAAAGTCAGTGTATTATGCAAAAATCTGCCTGTCTTTCGCAAGTTTAAATATTAACAGCTTAATGTGGAGCTAACCCGCCACTGCAGCACACTGTATTAATTCCAGAGAAAAAGCTCAGTGTCAAAGGAATCATCTCTGCTACAGCCACCAAATAATAAGCAACTTCTGTAGCCTTTTGAGATTACGCTCTTATTTGTCTGTAGTAGATTCGGCTTAAAAATGAAGGGCAGACTGACACCTCGTCCTGCTGGTGGCTGGAGGTCGGGCTTGGAAAACCCGCTCGCCGCCTCCGTGGTCCTTCCCATCGGCTTCTCTGTGTGCCAGGGGCTTGGCCACGCTGTGGTTCTTGTGCAGCACGGAGCTCGGCTTAAAAAAAATGCTACTTTCAGGCCAATATGAGACCCAATGCATGGTGGGCGCAATGGCAGGGCTCTACAGCACCCGCCAGTGCTCATTGGCAATATGGAAACGCTCCAAGGAATTGCAGGGGCTTCTTCCTCGTGCCACGGTGACATCCCTGGACTTTTCCTTCAAATACATTAAAAGAAACAGCCCTTCCTCCCCACTTGAAGGGTTCTCATCACCGACTGTGATCCGGCCTGTCTGCTTCAAGGCAAAAAAAAAAAAGGTTGAAACTCCCAAACCTGTGGTTGCTTCATGGGGCAGCACCCGGAGCGCGAGATCGCGGGTACCCAGGGAAGAAAGGGTGGGCTGCCAGGGCGCTGCGGCCATGGGGCTGCAAACACCTCCCCAATGCCCTGCTCTGCTGCTGGAAATAGCACTATCATTATAAAGCCCCTTTTAGACTAATTGGAGCTATTTTTCTGCATTCGCTGTCTTCTTCCATAACACGGATCTCGCTCAAGAGCGACTCCGGTGCCGGCCGTGCCGCTGCTTCCAGAGCCGCCTGCCTCCCGGCTAGCCGGGAGAAACTGCTGGCACGGTGCAAAAGCCCACGGAAACTGCTGATGCGCACCCAGATATGACGGGCTGGCATTCATCTGTGACAAGAAAAATGCTTCTTGCTGCAAAGGTCTGGTTTAAATTAGGAACGAGCGTGAAAAAGCCAAAAAGCAAAACAAAAATGCTGAAACTTGCCCTGCTTGCCTTTTCTAACCACCAATGCCACGAGACTGCCCTGGCAGGGCCAAGGAGACCGTGCAAGGGCTGCAAATTTTCTAGCAAGGCAAATATCTTGACAAGGGAGGGATATCAAGAGTGAGAAAAGGGGAGAGGCAGGAGCAGCAGGCGCTTGGCTCTGGATTGGCTCTGGGACCATGTGTGTCCTTGCGGACAAGTGCCCGGCTCATCGTGGCTTCCAGCCCTCCGGCTTCCATGGATCTACCACGCCATAGAGGGAAGGACAAGCAGAGGCTCAAGTCAAAGAAGCAAATATTTTATTTTGTAAAAACCAAGCAGACACCAGCAGCGAGGCTCAGCAGAGCAGCCCCGCGTGTCGAAACCGCGGCACATCTGTCTTCACGGAGCTGGGAAATTATAAAAGCTTCAGGTAGGGTCTCAGCTTCTGGAAATAAAGAATAGAAGGAAAATGCATAAGCAGAGATAGTCCTCAGCATGCTGGGTGCCGCCTCGCAAGGGCTGCAGCTTGGGCTCCATGTTTTGGGGTTAAAGCAAGGAGGTTTGGTTCTCCTCCAGCTCTCTGCAGCGTGTCCTTCCTCTGGCCAGCAGAACCCAAGACACCAGCTTGACTTTTATGAAAATCACCAGCTTTTGCACTTAAAACACCAGCTCCTGCAGCCAAGTGGCCACAAGAGCAGGATATCTGAAAACACAAGGGTCTCATTGCTTGCAAAACCCTCCCCTGACTTTTGGGGCCCCACTTCCACTCTCTGGTTAACCAAACTGCGCGTTCTTGTATTCGATGCTCTGCCTAAAGAGCACCAAAGACACTCAGGAGCTCCCCCGGAGCAGTACCATTCACTGAAACAAAGGCTGGGCAAAAGTAGGCCATTTCATTACACAGATTTTGTTTCCCAGAAAGAAATGTTTTATTTACACGTGCTCCTTTCTCGCATTGGCTTAGCCAATTTGGTCACAGCTTGACATCCAGCAAGCTAGTCTAACGGCAATGGTTTTACAAAACGTTTTTCTAATCTATTTTAAACACTTAATTACAGTTGTGGCGCATTCATTAGGGACCCTGCTTTCAAACCTGGATTGAACTAATAAATCCTAACTCTCAAAGCGTCAGTAGTAATGTGCAAATGGGGCCCGAGCAGTCGTCAGAGGCGGCTGCTGACCGGGTGACTGCGAGCAGGACCGGCCGCCTCGGAGCGGGCGACCCGCAGCGTCCCGTTGCCCGAGGAGCCCGCGAGGAGCACCAGGACGACCCGGGGAGGCCGGGCAGGGTCTCGCACGCTACCTCCGCCCTTGGGGAACTCTTACCTCAGTCTTTCCCCAGGTACTTCTTCATGATACTATTTACATCATCCTCCTTGCCTTCGGCCTCGGCCCTGCGGGGCTCGCGGGCGCTCTCTGCGGCCACGCTGCTGCACCCTTCCCCGTCGGCTCTGGGCGGCCGCCGCTTGATGCTGTCGGCGCTGCGGAAGGAACGGGCCGAGCCGGACGACGAGGAGGCATCCGAGAGGTTCCCCGAGTCCTCCTGGGCGCCCGGGCGCGGCCTCGACGGGCTCTTGTTCCCGGGGGTGTCCGTGGTGGCCTCATCTTCAAACCGAACGGTCAGCGGCCTCTGCCCGTCCCGCCTGTCCCTGCCGGGCCTGGCCAGGCTGCTGGTGGAGCGCGACTTCCGAATGGCCGGCATGAAGTCGTCAAAATCCACCTTGGTTCTCCTCTCGTAGTTGAGCGTCGGTATTTTCCAGCTGAACGGGTCGCTCTCCTTCCCCTCGTCCGCGTCGGTGCTGAGCCGCTTGCTCTGGAACACCAGAGGATCCTTCCCCACGTCGAGGTCTCCTCCTTCCTCCAGCGACGGCTCGAGGCAGCTTCTCCATGACTTGAGCCTCCAGGAGCCGAGCGCATCCGTGGAGCTCGGCTGCGCCGCGGAGTTATCCATGTTTTGCAGCAGCGAGTCGTAGGAGCCGAACTTGGAGACGCGCTTTAGCACCGGGGAGCGCGCGGGCTCCGTCTTCTCCGAGGCCGTGCCCTTAAGGATGGAGGAAGGGATGGGCACGGGGCTGCCGGCGGCCCTGCTGCTCCCTCTGGGCTCGCCCATCTCCAGCTTGGCTGGGAGGTCATCGGCCTCGCGGAAGGTCCTGCAGCGCCGCAGGGTGGAAGCACCAGTCGTTTGGTAAATGGGCAGGGGGGACGTGTCATCGAGGGCCAGCGCTCCCTGCTCGTTGTCCGCCGCCCTTTTCCTCCGCAGCTCCTCTACGTACTCGGAGAGCGCGAAGGAAGAGCTGGGCAGCTTGTCCTGGGGCGCCGCAGGCAGCGGCCGCCTCGCCGCCCCTGGGGACAGCGGGCCGGGAGCCCTGCCCTCGGCGGCCGGAGAGCTCCGGCCTCTCCCCGGCGCCGGAGAACTCGCTCCCCGGCTCTCCCCCGCTCTTTGCTGGCTCTCCAGCTCCTCCCTGTCTGCCGCAGGTTTGCCGTACTCCCGTCTTCGAGCACCAAGCAAAGGACTCACAGCCTTCACCGCACCCGCGGCATCGACGCTCCCGACACTTAGCGATGAAGCTGCACGGGCCGTTTCTGCTTCCTTGACATCTCTGTTCATCCTAAACAACAAATACCCACGTTAGCTCAAGTTGCACCGTTTCCAGCAATGTCACTGAGCAAGGACGAGGTGAGCACTGAGCAGCCTGTATTTGCATGGCAACCTCTGATCAAACTCCGGCTGCCGCACCAGCAAGTTCAGCAACACTCAATTTTTCTATCTTAAAAGCCCTGGTCAAACTGAGGGGTCAACGCCAGGGCAGGCAGTGCAGCCTTAGCTCTGCCAAGCTGGCGCACACCTCAGCTCTTGATGGATTGCAGCAATGGGTAAAACCTGCCCGACGGCGAGCGAGCGAGGGGAGCGGGAGCAACTCGGCCAAGGCCTCCGGGACCCAGCGCTCGGATGCTTCAGCTCGAGGACACCATCCTAGCCAAAGGTCCTGAAGGGCCAGCATGGCTCCAGCTGAAAGTTCCTGAGGGCCGCCCTGCGCTTTAGTGGAAAAGCTGCCGGGATTTGAATCCGGAGTGAAACCAGGATTCGAATCTGTCTAGCAACTAAGGAGGGGGAGAGGCAAAAAGAGCACGCAGGGAGCAAGGTGAGAGCGGGATGCAGCAAGCGGGCTGCGGGATGGGCCATCCCACCACCCAGGGCCACCGTGCCCACGCCAGATCAGAAACGGGCGCAACGCGGAGCTCCGCCGGCGCCGCGAGCCAAGCCCCGCTCCGTAATGCGCCACTCGCGCCACAGCAAATGACATACAACAATAATTAGTGAAGATTACACAGCAATTAACATGATTACAATTATGCTAGTTGAAATAATTTATACAATAAAATCCGCGCATGCATTGCGGCACACGGGCCTTTCCTCGCAGCTCGGAAACACGGCCAAGGCAGCCCCGTTCCAGGCAGGGACAAGAAACTGCCCTGATTTCTGACAGATTTCTGTGTCCCTGTCCTTCGCAGGAGAGCACCCAGACCCCCAGAGAAACGTTTGCTTCTCTCAAAATGACGTCTCAGAATAAATGGGGCAGATGCTGCCAGCCATGGTGCAGGATCTGGAGCAGTGCAAGGATGGGCAGAAGACGTCTGGGATGCAGCAGGAATTCTGGATGCTGCAGGACACTGGGATGCAGCAGGAGCACGGGTCCCTGTGCATCCCTCCTGCACCGCAGCCTTGGCTGCTCTGCTGCAACCAAGAGGTCCCTGCACGGCTCCAGGCAGAGCCAGCGCATGAAGTTCCCAATTTGCTTCCTAATAAGAAAACTGACGGTTTATTCCAACTCAGCGGTGTGTCATATTTATGAAGACTTAGCCTTGCAGCCCAGTGTTTTGTACAAGTATTTAAATAGCAGAGAATTAAAGAAGCCGTTAATCAAATCTCTCATTTCTATGCACTACACCACAGATAATAGCCTGAGATCCTTTTCTGCAGCTTTTGACAGCTGTTTGTTAAGGAAATATCCCATATGTAGGACCGAGAGGCAACTGCAGGGAAGGCTCATTTGTCATTGCTGGGTGCTGGGGTAGGACGAGGCATGGTAATGAGGAGGAGCGCGGCGCTCGGCTCCGTTATTACCTTCCCAGGCTCATCCTCGGTGTGTTTGCATTTCGCAGAGCCTCCTCTCTAATATTTCCATCCTAGATTAGCTGAAGCCAAATGCAGCTACAGCACTGGGATTTGCAATTTGCTTTCTCATGAGCCTCCAGGCACGGCCAGATTGTCACATTACTTCCAGGGCTGGGTATAAATGTCCTATCAGAATGGTCACAGTCGGTGCAGCAAGTTCTTTTTATTAGTCCCTGAGCTTACATATTTGCCCTTTTATTATGAGCCCAGTGCATTTCAGCTCAAGAATGTGGTAAGAGCCGTAACTTGTGATTCACTGCTGCTCAGTTATGATCAGAGAGAGATTTTTTGGTCCAGCCCCCTCAAGAGGTACCCAGGGCTGGGGACAAGCCTTTCCCGAGGGGATGCTCAATGCAGTGTGGCACCCCAGGCAGGTTGGGAGGCCACAGGGTCCCACTGCCACCTACACATGGTGCCCGGCTGGCAAGGGACAACTTCAAACTGCTCCAGCACCTCCAAGGGGGCAACTGCTCTTCAGGGAACTAATCCTGGCAGCTGGGCCGCGCGAGCACTCAGGCTGCACTCGCCTGCGCCCCACGAGCATCACCGTCAAAAACCAGAGTATTTCGTGTTTAGGTGCAGAAACGGACCGTCAGCAGCGAGAAAGGGAGCATGTGGTGTGCAAACCCTCCAACGGACGCACTGTCTCTCTAGATCACCCCCAGAGAACACACCGTTTTGCTGCTTGAAGCACAGTTTTGATGCAGCGCCTTTCATCTGCCACCCCACTGATTCCCTTCCCGGGCTCGAGGCTTCGGCTCCAAACGCCACGGCCTCCCGCCAAGGCCCCGGGCACATCCCGAGATGGGCCAGCCCCAAAGCCAGGACCAGCCTGGGGCTCCTGCACCGACCCACGTTTGTTGCTCCAGAACAAGCACGAAGGAATACATGATCCCATTATAGGCGGCTTGGGTTCTTACCTGAGGCTGCGGACGCTGCCGGTACCGCCGGAGCGCACGGAGACGCTGCCGGCGGCGGTGCTGCCCGCCGGGGAGCCCCAGCCCAGCGCCGAGCCCAGCCACGAGCCCACGCTCTCCGCCGGCTCCAGGCTCAGCACCGAGCCCGTGCTGGAGCGCGCATCCCTGCGGGCAGGACACGCTCCCGTCAGCACCGGCGCTGCCCTGCCCCAGCCCTCGTCCCGCCGTCCCCCGCCGTGCTGCTGCACCCAGGACCCCTCTGTGCCCAGGAACCCCTCCGTGCCCGGGACCCCTCTGTGCTGGGTTTTAGCGAAGGGCAAAGGGAGCGCAGCGCTGCTGGCGCAGCAGGGAGAGCACAGCCTGTGCCGTGCAGCGCGCAGGGCCGGAGCGGACCCAGCTTGCCCCAGTGCATCCATCACTGCCCCCACGGACACTGTGCACCCCAGTCCCTCGGCAAGCACACTCGCGGCAGCCGCAGGCCCATAGCCCACCTCACAGGCACCCAAGCTCCAGCGGGCTGGCGCGCATAGGGCTCACTTACATGTCTCTCCTGGAGCAGAGCGACTCCCGGGCCGTTAGCACGCTGCAACAGAGGAGGGAGAGCTGAGTGCTGCACCTGCGCAGTGGCTCGCAGCCAGCGCGCCCACCTTGCACCGAGCGGCCGCAGAGCTGCTCGCGTTAAGTGCAACAATTTGCAGGATTGGACCTCAGTGGTGCCCGGGGCACTGGGGCTGCAGGATCCAACCCAACCCATTGCACGGCCAAATACCCTGCGGCTGCAGCGCCTTTTGCGCGCGCAGGGGAGCAGGGCCGGGCCCGGCGGCACGCGGGCCGCGCGTTACCTGTCCGCGTCGCTCTCGTCGCCGCTGTGCTCCTCCTCGAGGGCAGCCTGCAGGTCCGCGATGCGCCGGATGGAGGTCTCCAGGTCGGCCTGCAGCGCCTGCCGCACGGCCGCCAGCTCGTCCACGCGCGCCTCCTGCGCAGGGGCTGCCGTCAGCGCCGGCACCACCCGCCACGGCGACCCCGCGGCTCCCTCCCCGCCCTGCCTCCATCGTGCACAGGGAGTCGCTTGCAACCCACCCGCAATGTCCCCAGTGCAATGTCCCCAGTGCAATGTGCCCCAATGCAACATCCCCAATGCAGATGTCCCCAGCTCCAACCTCGCCCAGCGAGCAAGCAAAGCTCGCACTTGGCCCCACCCTCACTCTTTGCCCCATGAAAGCTGGCCACCACCTTTGAAATGTCATTTTACATCTTTTTGGGGCCTGGGGGAAGGGAATCTGCCTCAGAGCTTTGCAACCATCACATGGAAGAGAGGAAAAGAGAAGAGAAAATAGGGAGGGAGAGGAGCGCGGGCACAAGCTGCAAATGCAACTTGATGGAAGCTGCCACACGTAAAACGGGCATCTCGGCAGTGACAAGGCGAGGGGTGACTGGCGGCGCAGGGGCTGCCGGGCTGTCAGGGCGCATCACGAGGGCTGGAATGTCGGGAAGGCGCCGGGAGGCCGTGAGGGACGCACAGATCCATGGTGGCCAGCACGGCAGCACCACGACACCAACGATGTCCCTCCTGCAGCCGCCTCTTCTCCCTCCCTTAGGGCAAAGCCCAAGTGTGGGAAGGAACTGTTTCCCTTTGGAAATTTCTCCACACGGGCTGGGAATGGTGCAGGTCCCTGTGCTGTGTTCCATCTCCCTATGGATCAGCCTCAGGGATGTGGCACAGGGATGCAGAACAGCCCTGGGACCTGGAGCAGGGCATAGGGATGCGCAGCAGGACACAGGAACGTGCAGCAGGACACAGGGACGCGGAGCTCAGTGCTGCCCTGGGGACTCCGTGCTGGATCCCTGCACCTGGCTCGCACGGAGCCGAATCCGCTGCCTGGGACCTCTCAGCCAGGGAGTGGAGCAACCTCTACGTGCAAAGCCCGGACCTCCAAACCCGCTGACAAGGGCCTCTGCTGACCTAATCCCTCAGCTCTGGGACATGGTGCATGTCAAGCGCAGTTCACTGGCTGCACTTAATTCCTCCCTGCTCCTCCACACTAACCGGCAGCGCGTGGCAGGCGGGCGCCTCGCGGCGTCCGAGTGCTGCGGGGAGCAGCAGAAGCCCCCGGGCACCTCAGCCGCCGAACGGGGCCGCGGGAGCTGCAGCCGCCCAGAGCGGTGCCCACCGTGTCCCGACGGGGCCCTGGCCAGCAGTGTCCCCCCCCCGCAACCCGTCACCGCAGGCAAGAGCCTCACCCTGCCCCTTCCTCCTAAACTCGAACCTAGCACAGCTGCACTACGCAATTTTCTCAAGGAAGGGAATGATTACAAGAGCTTAATTAAATTGACGGTGCAAAAAAATCACCTTTATAACATAAAGTGGCACCAAGCACCCCAGGGCCCGGCCGCTGCCCCCGCAGCGAGCTGCCAGGCACCTGCAGCACGTGGCGGTTCAGCCCAGATGTAAACGCAGGAGGCACCTTCCCCTTTTAATGCAGCAGCATTTCTCTATTTACCTCTCAGTGATCAACCTGGTTTTGCAACCACCTCTACATTAGGTTTGTAAAACCTGTCTTCTTAATTTCTATTTCATCTTATTTGGTGAAATACTTCATGGGACACCAGTGTGGAGCATCGCATGCCCGACCCGCTGCCGTCTGCACGCCTGTTTGGGCTCTGCTGTTGCAACACAACTTGTGCATGCTCACACCCACCTGAAGCATAATCTAATTAGCGCAATTTGGGTTGCCTCTATTTAAATAATTTAGCATACACCTGCAGCATTCATCAATCATTATTATCTCTAATTAAGTAATTAACTTCAGGCTTCCCAAAAGTTTGAAGTGACGGGATTTCTGCCGCGGGAGCCTCGAGGGAGACGAGGTTAGTGCCTGCGTCTGCTCTCGCCAACACCAGCGCTGCTGTAATTGGTGTTTGCACCACAAGTGTTGATGATTTCCTGCGGAATTTACTGCTTTAATGGCAAAACAGCCACCACCTGCCTTGCACAGGCTCGCAGTAGCACCACCGTGGCTTTTCTCTAACAGATTCCCCATCATCCCAGCTCACATCCAAAGCCTGACTGCTTTTGATGGCAATCGTAGTTACATTTAGCCAAAGCCATCGACTTCTAAGAAAAGAGCAGCTCCAGAAGAGAGCACGGCTGGCGGTGAGGGATGCAGAGACATCAGAGGATTTATTTCCACCCCGGCGAGAGCCTTTACAGCAGCAGGGGGAGGTGGCACTCCTGCTTAGGGGTATAAACAGCTCCTATTTCTTTTGTCAAGTTCACTGAAACCTTTAAAGCCTGCAAATGAAAAAAAGTTCTAATAAATACTAGACTGTAATATGCTACACGGCGCTGGATCGCATGGTGATAACGTGACTGTAATCATGAAGGATATCTTCTATCATAAGAACCATAAAAAAGGTTATATACACTGTGACTCTCGCCTCAGAAAAATTCCCATGTGCAGAATATTTTAACGCCCGCACTTCAGCTTTCAGTGAGGGAAGCTCCGATGCGACGAGGCGAGTCGCAGGGCGCCGTGGGCACTCAAAGCGATTCCGTCTAGGGAGATGAGGGCTGGAAAACTCAGCAGGGTTCCCACCTCCCCGCTCCCAGCACAGCCCTGCAGCCCGGACCGTGCCCAGCTCCCTGGGCGCCCAACCGGCACAGTCACATCTGCGGGTCCTGCAGTGTGGCAGCGAGGGCAGCTCATCCCAGCCCCTACCAGAGCCTGCACGGTCCAGGCTCTGCTCCTGCCTTCCCTGGCCCCGTGCAGTGGGCAGCATCTCCAGCAGCTCCCGCAGCAGCACAAGCACGAGTGCGCCTGCATGCCTGATGCGATAAGGGACCAGGGCTTGCTTTTAGGCTCCAGAGGGTTTCCTCTAACTTGGAAATCCATCTCTCTGCCCTTTCTATAATTCAGTTCTTGCTGGGGCGCGAGGGGAGCAGGCAGCTGGGTCCAGCCTTCCACACGCCGGGTGTTGGCACAACAGCTCTAGGAGCATGCGGCACGGGCGGACATCCTGCTACAGCTCCAAGGAAGATGCCTTGTACACGAGACAGAGGGAAGCGAGACCAAGCGCTACCAGCTCCAACGGAAAACATACATCCCTGGGTGCGATGGCACCAGCCTGGAAAGCGTTCAAAACTCATCTTCTCAGAAAATTCATAAGGCACAGCCATCTGCCCGGCATGCCGCTCTCCAGGCTCCCGTCCCTTCCCTGTGTTTACCCTGCTTTGTGTGAATGTCACAGGGATGAGGAGGCTGCTGCCTCCCCACTGCCCAGAGCCACGTAGGGAATGAGAGAGGGAGAAGGGAAGGGGCTGCCTGGGGCCTGGCGCCGTGCAGTGTCAACCTCCCACAGCAATAAAGGGTTTCCAAGGGCTTCACACTGCTAGATACGGGTGAGGACTGTCACACGGAACCGGTATCAATCCTTACACACAGCTTCCAAGTCTTAGGACCTCAGAAAAGGCTGAACCTCAACCCAAATCCGTACAGCAAGTACTGCACGCTGCACTCAGGGCTTCCCAGCAATCCGTACCTTCTCCTGCAAGCCCAGGGCCTCACAACTGTTTATTCAAATAAATAAATAAAAAAATGTGAGGTGCAGACCTAGACTTAAGTAATGTTAAGTGAATAATTCATGCAGTATTTATAATTGATGTGAGATTTAACAGGAGCTGAGCTGTAAGTGGCTTTCTATTAACTATTGATGCTCTCAGGCAGCCACTCGACAAGCGCAGCCGGGCTCGGAGATCACAGCTCTCCTGCGATATTTTATTTAACGTATTAAGAGTCCACAGGGCCTGGCGAACAGCTCTGCTTGCCGGAGCCGGCGCCGCCTCGCAGGGCGCCCGTGGAGCACCGGGAACCGCGGGAAACGCCGGGAACGCTGTGAGTGGCCACGCTTGCTGCGGGGACACCCCTTTCCTCAGCTTCCCCCTGCCCCTGGCTGCAGCGCCTGGCGGATAAGCCCAAATATCTGCGAGTCTGGCTAAATGCAAGGGCCCTTTAGCATTTTTTCTTGGAGCTTGTCTTTTTATGGGCTTCTTCCAAGGAGGCATCTCTAAAATCCCTTTCAGATTTCTTGGAAAACATCAGTTGTGAGAACAGGAGCATGATAAGCAGACCAAGTACCTCACTAAGTCTGTGATTTACATTTCTATATGAAACATTCAAAAAGCTTCTAAAAATATATGCGCAAACACAAAAAAGGCGGTTAAAAGAATCCATCCACATCCCCGCAGACAGCACATCTGTGTTTCAAAACATTGCACTTCTAACAAAGCTGCAGTAAATACACAGCTTTGGGAGCAGCCACGGCAGCGCTGCTCCCGCGGTGCCAGCGGGAACGCTGCGGGAGCCGGGCACCATCCCGGCGCCACCGGGAGCAGCTGGGGCTGGCCAAGGAGAGCTGCTGCTTTTGAAATCCTGGCTTTTTGGGGAGGTGTCTGGTGCAGCGATGGCAGCGCGAGCACACGCCGTGCTCGGGGACCGGCAAGTCATTACCGCTAACACACCGCGCGCGTTCGAAAGGCTGGCAGCCTCGGGGGAAAATAAAGGGTGAAATCTACTTGTTTGGTAAATAAAAAATTATTAATAAAATAACTGCTTCTTGCACAGCCGCAATCTTTCAATTACTGCTTGGAAGCAGCACTTCCCTTCCGTTTACTAAAATAAACACGCTGTGGAAAGAAGCGCGCGGAGAGGCAGCACAACGAGAGCGGAGCTATTTTTGCCTGGCGGGCTGCGCCTGGGCCGGGCGCCCACGGCGCAGGGCAGCTGCTTAGGCACTTCTTGGGGTTCGTTAGAGCCAAGAAATCAAAGCCCCAGGTGAGATAGGGGAGCGCGGATGTGGAGCACCGCCTGTCTCATGGCGGGGTCCAGAGGGACATCACCCACGGCCACTGCAGGGGGGAGCGCGGGGACCCAGGGTGGCAGCAGCCCCTTACCAGCTCCATGCGCCGGCGGCTGGACTCCAGCTCCCTCTGGACCAGCTCGTTCATGTCGGCCTTCATCTCCTCCATCCTCATCTGGTAGTACCTGGTGTTCTCCTTCTGCCGCGCCTCCGACTCGGCCGCCTTCTCCAGCTCCTCGCCCATCTTGATGATGCTGTCCCGCAGGCGCAGCACCAGCACCTGGGAGCAGAGCGGGGATGGCAACGGGAGCACCGCGCCTGCTCCTGGCTCGGCCTTACGGAGCGCACGGAGCAGCATGGAGCTCACCCACTGCCCGAGCCCAGCCCGACCCGCTGATGGCACTAAGAGCTAGTTAAACCATGCAAAATCCACGCAAAAAGCATGCAAAAATAACAACCATGAAGCAGCGACACATGGGGACCCTCCACCCGCACCGCGTGCCGCGGTACCTCGAAGCGCTTGATCTGCACACTCTGGAACTCCAGGCGGTTCTGCAGGTCGCACACTCGGGCCTCCTGGCGCCCCACGAGCGCCCGCTCCACCGTGGCGCGTCCCAGCTGTGCCAGCCTGGCCTCCGCCGCCTGCAGCTGTGACAGAGGCGGCCGTGACACCTCCCAGCGCCTTCCCAGCCCCTCCGCCCCGGGTACCGCCGTGCCGTGGGCTCCGGGGGCCTCCTATGGCCACACGGGTCCCACTGCGGTGACAGGGCTTCCCACAACCCTGCCAAAAACAAGGCGAAGGTGCAAGACCTGCCAGACCTAGGGAAAAGCCAGAGGCTTCCCAAAGGATTCATCTGCACCAAGGCTGTGCAATAAATGCATGACACTACAGTGTGTTTTTTAAGGAAAAACACTCCAGGGAGCTGATAGCAGTTTGTCTCTCTCACTTTTCTCTTCTCAGCCAAGCCTCTTAGGCTGGTACACACATGGAGACCCACCCGTGGTCAAGTCTTTCCTTTCACCCTTACCAGGACCTCCAAAACCAACCGCCTTGTCCTCCATCCCAGCACCAGCCAGGCTCCGCTTTGATATTTGACCTTGCTCGATGGGAATCTGTTGTCTTTTATCTGGCCTATCTCTTAAAGCGGCATCCATCCTGCACGGCGTGGGCACGTCCCCCTCCTGATCCCCGGGCAGCTTAGCCACGCTCCAGTAAAGCACTTAAGTTAATGGGATTACTCATGTGTTCAAAATTAAATGCACACGCTGCAGGACCCCGCTGCGGCTGCACCGGCGAGCAAGAGCAGCGCGGGAGCGGGAGCGAGGCGGCGCCGCCAGCACTCACTTTCTCCTGGAGACTTTGTTTTTCTTTCTTCGCGTCCTCCACCTGCGTCTGCAGCTCCCGGATCTGGGCGATATCTGCTGCAGACTGAGGAAACGGAAATGTCAGCAGTGGAAGCAAAGCCAAGAACTTGGAGCAAATGCCACAGAGAAGGGTAATTTTGAAGGCTTGCTTGTGCCTAATTCTAGGCAGGGGGTGGCACTTCCCACACACCTATATCACAAGCTGACTGAAACAGCTTATTTCTACAGCCTGAATGCAGCTCTCCTGACTTTGGAAACCAGTATTCGCAGATTAGGGCAGAAAGTGTCTTGTGAAGGTCATTTCTGCCCTGAAGGTCACGCCACATTCATATTCCAGGTCTGTACAACCTGGCAGTGGGGACCAGGGTTTTGGCAGCCTCGCTGGGCTCCGCTGGGAGCCTCGGAGTCCCTCATCTCCGCTCCCCATCCCCAGGGAGGGCCCGGCCATGCGGGACTGTGCAGGGAGCCGCAGGGCTGCCCGTCACCTCCTCCTGAGCAACGCTTGAGAAAAGAGTGAGGAAAAGAGCTGGAAAGAATCCAGGAGGGATGATATAGGATTTCCTATAGGATTCCTATAGGATTTCCTATAGGATGGAATAGGACGGAAAATAATCAAGGTATCTCTTGAAGGAAAATTCAAACCCCAGGAGTGGGTGTAGACAACATGGGAGACATCCTCTCCTCCCAGCAAGGTATCTGTTTTGTGTGGTGGGACTTGCTAGGGACCCTCAAGGCTCCATGGGTTTTCCAAGACCCTCCTTAGGCAGGGGAGGCAGCAGGGCACCGGGTCCTACCTGGGCGATGAGAGCCTTGTGCTTTCCCATGAGCTCGTTGAGATCCTCCTGGTCCTCGTCGAGGCGTCGCAGCAGGTCTGCCCGCTCGTGCTGCAGCTGGTAGAGCTGCTCCTCGAGCTGCCAGGGACAACCGGGGCCCCCGTCAGCAGTGGCACCGCCAGGTGCCCGGGACCCTCTGTGCCAGGCTCCGAGCCCCACCTGGGATTTCTCTGCTTTTACACCCTTTGCACCATGCACCATTGCAACCAGGGAGAGGCAGCCGGAGCCAGGGCGCTGGGCTTCGCGGCTCCACTGGGGATCTGTGAGGGCTGCTGCACACTGGCAGCAATGTTCTCCCTGCGTGAAGGCACCCAGCACGGGGCTCTACGTGATTTAACGTGCCTCTAGTCCAAAAAGTACTAGGCAGCATCTCCCGCCACATCCTTTAAGCTAAATCTGTTGATTACAGTGATCAGCCCCTGGCTGCCCCCACGTGCTGCGGCTCTGCCACGTACCAGGTTTTTGTTTCGGCCGAGGGTCTCCAGCTCCGTGTGCAGGTTCTCCAGCTCCAGAGCCATGGTCTTCTGAGCTGCCTGGGCCTCCGCACACCTTGCTTCACTCTCTTCCCGCTGCGAAAAACAGAGGGAGACAGGAATTACCAGGGTGCTTGGCCTCGGCAGCACCGCGTGCCGATTCCGCCACCCCTCTTGTTGCACGGCATCGTCTGCCCGTATTTCCCTCCCGGAGCATCTTCTGCAGAGAGCGCACTAGGAAACCATTGTGTTTTGCAGGCTATTCCTGTCCTACAAACAAAAGTTCTCCCTTCCCATGGCCAGGGCTGGAACAAGGACACGCACAGGGCTGTCTCGGGGGCTGGCACTGCTTGGCCACGCGAGGCTCCCGGTGGGAAGCACCGTCCTGCCGAGGACCAGGGTTCACACCTCAGACTGCAGATCCTCTCCCTGCCTCGGCACTGCCATGCTGAGGTAGAGCTGGGATCATTAATTTGCAAAATTAGCTGCATTACATGTAATTCCTGATTAGAGCAATTCGTGATATGGAGTTTGCAAATGGGCTTTTCGTGTAGCACAAATTGCATTCCCAAATACACATCAAACATCACATTTATAAATGCTAATTTGCTCTTTGTTTTTATAGCCCAGCCATTAAAACTACAAAGATCTTAAGCGGGCTACAACACCTGGAGGACACTGTGTCACCCCGAAGAGGTCACGCAGGCCGTGCTGGCGGGCACAGTCCCCGCCCTAGCAGCAAGGCCCAGTCCTCGTCTTGCTGGCTTGGGATTCTTCCTTTTCTTAAGGAAACAAAACTAAACCCCTCCATTTGCTCCTTATTCACAACTCCCTACTTGTCCCGCCCCATCCCAGCTTGTCCTTCTCAAAACCTGCAAAGCTGTTATTTAAAATTACAATCCTGTGTCCAAACCCAGCCCGTTTGGATGAATTATCTAGTCAATCTATTCATATATCTGCAGAGCCTCTTTTACAGTGACACACAACGCGTCCTGCTTTCTTCCGCAAGCGGAAAAATAGACTTCAGATTTTACATAAAGCTCAGGAGCAGTTAGCAATATTGCCCAAGCGATAGCTTGGGGGAGATGCTAACGGTCACAGATTTCCAATCTGCATCATTTCTGCCAGTACAAAAGGAGTCTGCAGGGCAATAACCGAGCCCTTCCCGACTTTCCCTTCCAAAGGCATCTGTTTTCCAAGGAGCCGCATTCCCATTGCACACCCACAGCCACGCGTGCCCCGGGGCATTCCCATGCAGCGTTGGTGCCCGTGCTGCTGCGCTCCTCACCCTAGCAAACAGAGACACCCAAGACGGTGCCACGTGTCCCCAAACAACAGGGGACACGGGAGCCACGCGCTGGGCACAACGCAAGCCCTGCACTGCCAGGTAGTTCAACACAGACACAAGTCTATCTGCAGCGCCTCTCATTAAATGCCAGCTTCCCTTTCACGTTACGTAATGGAATTTTCCCACTTGGGAAGAATAAATTGAAATTCCCACCCCAAAAAATGCATAATGTATGAACTGATGAACAACATTAGTTTGCGGCGCTACACCATCTGTTAAATACCTGTGCAGAACGGATGCTTCAGACTTATTAAGAAACAATGCGACACTTCAAGACCATATGGATTTTGATTAACAAAAATGTAACATTTTAGCAAAGTTTTTCTTCTTGCAGTGATTTGTGGGCTGCTGTGAGCATGTATTGGATTTGGGGAAGCGCATCGTAAAGGCCAATAGAAATCATTGCCATTTAAGCAATGGCATAATCGTGAGGCTCTTCCAATGCACAGAGTCCCAGGGCTGGCAGCATCGTCAAAACTCAATATTCCCAATATCAAGGCTTTTCTCCGCTCTTCCCAAAAGCACTGGGCAGATGGGCAGCAACCAGCAAATGCAGAAGCTCCTCACACAAGCCCCGCTCTGCGAGGGACCGTGTGTATTTGAGCACTGGAGCTTTTCTCCGCAGCAGGACATGGCCGGAGCAGCGACCTTGTGCATTGCCCTTTGCTTGGTGGCTATAGGCAAGCGGAGCACTCTGCCTGCTCCACGGCCGACGTGCCCACCCAGGGACTCACCACGGGGCTGCTCAGCAGCAGGAGCCTCCAAGGAGCATCATCCTGGCTTTGGCACTTGCTGGTTTCAGATGATTCCCCAGAAAGAGCCTGGCTTTACTCCCCACTGCTCAGAGTTATCTCCACCCCGAGAGCCAATGCAAGCCATGAATTTGTGCCTATTTGGTTTTGTTTTCCTTTTTTTTTCCCATCAGAAGAGTCAAGGGGATATTAAAGGCCTGGTGAGCGCGAGAAGCAGTGCAGACTTCTGCATGCTTGCTCCTTCCTTCAAACGGGCACGTGGCAGGGTGCCCTTGGCAGCAGCACCTCCCTGCTCCGCACGCAGCTCTGGGCCGGCCTCCCCTTCGCGCTCTGCGGCGCAGCTGCACTCCAGATGTTACTGGTGCCAGACTATCACCCCGATCACACCTGCATCGCCTCGGCCTGGTGCCTCTGGAGCGTCTGCCTTCCAGGGGCAGAAACAGCGTCGCAGAGCTGCCTGGGGGCCGGCCGCAGCCCCGGCTCGGCCGCGACACGCGCGGTGCTCCGCGCTGCTCCGGCCCGGCAGCGCCCGCCGCGCTCGCACCATTTCTATGACAACGCGCCTGAAAGCAGCGCCGCTGCTCTTGGCGGCTAGGAAGGCAGTGCACGCGTCGAGCAGATCAACGGGGGCTACACGGGAAAAGGAAACAATACTTCTCCGCTGTCATCTTAATTACGCAGAAGTAGTTCTTTCAAGAAAACGCTCGCCAGCACAAGAGGCGCTTTGCAGCCCTGGCCAGAGGAGCAATGCTCGCACGGAGGCTGGGAGCCACCGCTCACGTCAGATCTGCAGCCTCCCCTCGCTCGAGGGCGATGAGGGCCGGGCCTCCTCGCGGCATGGGCACCACTGCTCCTCACGAGGGTTACGCACAGCATAAAGCACCGTTAGCCTCTGCTGTGCACAGGCAAAGGCGGCTGCGGCAGAGCTGAGGCCAGGGAATTCTCCACAGTTTTGCACTGTGGATTTGCTGGATGCTGTTGGGAGCACCTTGCTCAGGGCACCCATTCCCCTAGTCCCTCAATCAGCGCTTGAGAGCCCCGGCCAGGCTGGGGCGCAGCAGGGCGCCCAGGTGCCAGCGCCCTACCTGCTTGCGGGCTCTCTGCAGCTCCTCGGCGCCGGCCGCGGCGCCGGCGCCGGCCGCCAGCAGCAGCTGCACGTCCGCCAGCAGCGCGCGCGTCCTGCGCAGGTCCCGCCGCAGCCGCTTCTCCACGTCGAAGTCCCGGTGGCCAATCTGAGGAGGGGAGAGGAGCGTGAGCACCGAGGGCACGGGTGATGGGGCTGGGACGCTGTGCGTGGGCACGGGGCTGGTGCCAGCCTCGCTCAGCCCCCTCGCAGAGCCCCTGTGCCACGCACGGGACCCGGGACTGCAGGGCTCAGCTCAGGGCTGGCAGCCACGGTCCCTGTCTTGGGCATGCTGAGGGGAAATTACAACCTCCCGGCACGTTGTCAGGGCATGGAAGGAAGAGAAAAATCACCACAACTTAGTGGGGGAAATCACAGGGTGGGAAAACACAGCCAGGGCACGAGGAAATGAGCCTGAAGGAACAAAAATGCAGAGCAGCGATCAAAAAGGCTTCATTAGGAATTATCTGCACATCTCCCACGCAAAGCACCCGGAGGCTCCGGGTGGGCGCTCGGGCCCGGCTGGGAGGCAAGGGCTGCTCCTCGCCGCGTCTCCGGCCCAGCCTGCAGCGGCAGCACCGAGGCCCACAGCGGGGCCGGGCGCCGCAGCGCCGGGAGCGTTTACACGGCAAGGTGGGAAGCACACGAAGGAAAACAGAACTCGGCGCTACCCCCTCAGACTGCGAGCAACCATGGTTACAGGGCTGAGAGAGCTAGAAAGCCACCAAATAAACAGGGACGGCGTTCCAGTGCTTGATCTCAAACTAATTGAAGCGTGAGAACATTCTCCACTTAGCCCCATTTCCGCAGCTCTTCTCATCTCAAACCTGTTCTCCTATTTTCTGCTCCCTGGCAAAAATCTATCGCGTACATTTGCCCCTGCAACCTGTTTCAGAGCCTGCTGGCATCTGCTGCAAGCTGGAATGGTTGGCACCTCCTTTTCCTCAATTAGTTTTCTGAATGTGAGGCTTTTTTTTTTTTTTTTTCCTTTTTTAATGAGCTGGTCTGAGCATCCTGTCCATGGTAAAGCAGGCTGTGTTGATACCCGCACTGCAGCGGGCATCCAGGTTTGCTTTCCCCCCGTGCTCCATCCCAGCCGTTTCCAGCAGTTTCTGCACCGTTTTCAGCACAGCTCGGGGCTTGCTGCAGCAGAGCGGGTGTCCTTGCCCCTTCCTGCAGCACTGCAGCCCGCTGCTCTCCGGGCTGCACAGCAGAGCCCCGGGGCAAGAGGCGCCTCCCAGAGCCCCAGCCCCGCTTGGGCAGCTCGCTCTCCTCCCGTCTCCCTGTCCCGAGAGCCCGGGCTCTGCGGAGGCGGCCGCAGCTCCTCAGCAGGGGCTGCCTTTGCCGGGAGCTGCTAGCGCAGCCTCCCTCCTCCTCCTCCTCCTCCTCCTCCTGCTTCCGCTCATCCGTCTTCGTTTGCCTGCTCTACCGAACACAAGGAATGTGTCGCGCTGAAAACCAGTAATAATAATATCCTGCTTTTATACAGCAAGATTTATTTTGACAGTTCCTAAAACATTTCATAAGCCCAGAACCAATGGGACTTTATGGATTTGCCTCATTAGGCCATTTCGCGTCTACCTGAAATATGCCCAGCATCCCGGCACTGCAAAGCTCCCAAATTCCTTGGTTTTAAGGAACACACACAATCACCAGACCTGGCAAAACCCTGGCAAGTTGCGCCAGTGACCAGGGGAGGTGGTGGTTAATTACTGCCACTCCGCATAACGAGCTCCTCCTCTCCTGCACGCGCAGCCTGAATTGCAACGCAGCAGAGGCAGCTTGGAGGCATCAGCCAGGGAAGAGCCCCACGAAGGAGCAAGGTGGGCTGCGGGAGCCGGCACGCAGCACGGCTCCCAGCCCGCTGCCGAGCGATGCCCCATCTGATAAACGCTCCTCAGTGAAGCTGCATTCAGTCCCTCGCCTTCCAATTTAACACAGAGCAGCTGTGTGCGCCCTCCCTATTACAGGCACTTCAATCACTGCCATACACACATTAAAGAGTGAAAAGGATTTGTTCAACAAATGTGCCGGGGACAAAATTCCACGGCAAATAGCAGGGCCTGATAAACGGCTTTTCTGGGCAGATAGTACTGCTCCAGCGTTAGCTGTGCTTAGCTTCACCCTCTCAGGAAAAGAAGAAAGAAAAGAAGAGCGGACGCCTCTCTGACCATCAGCTCCCGGACAGGGGGAACAGAACAGGGGATGTGACCTGGACCGCGGCGCCTGGCTGCATGTCCCACGCGGCTGCATCCCCGGCTGTGTTCCGAGCGGCAGGGAGCAGCTTTGCTCCCGGAGCTAGCGGGGAGCAGGAGCAGCGAGCGCACGTGCTGGGCGCGCGCCGGCGCTGCAGGGACGCGTGCGTGGGCTCCAGCCTCTTACCTGCTCACACAGGGTGCCAATGAGCCCTTCCAGATCCTGTTTCTCGTGCAACACCATCTGCTTCTCCTCGTACTCCTGCTCCAACTGCATCTCCAGCTGACGGAGCTGTGCGCGGGAGACAAGCACGGATAAGGTGGGAGCGCGGCCGCGCTGTTTGCGGCCACCAACCTCACAACCTTCCCAAAACCTTGTCGAAAGGGTAATTTCTGTTCATTGCCACTGAAATTGGGCCCTGGCCATCGGGAGTAGGTCCCCTTGGCCTGGTTCTTGCCTTAGGAATGTGGTACCCGGGACTACCAAGTGGTTGAGGCCCCCTCTGCCCATCTCCCTGGAGAACGGGGACCGACACCTGCCCAAAACCTGGGATTCTGCAGTACTCGGAGCAAGGAGAGCAGCGGCCACCAGCAACTGAGTGCTGTGAGAGGAGAGATTAACCCGTGAGGGTTTTCTCTCTTCTCCTCCAACACAGAGGGAGCCGTGCTTCCCAAAGCAAGAACTGTTCCCGGGGTCTGTGTCCTGGTCCCTTGGACCTGCTCCTGCCCAGTCCCCATCCCGCTCGGGCGCATCCCTACCCGCCGCTGGCAGGACTGCCGCACGTCCTCCAGCTCCTCATCCTTGTCCTCCAGCTCCTTCTGGTGAATCTGCTTGGCCCGCTCGATCTCCAGCTCGAGCCGCTGGTGGAGCTGGAAGAGGCCAGGAGCGGCGGGTCGGCGGGGGCCAGCGCAGCAGGCAGGGGGGCTCGTGGCGGGGCCGCGGCGCCGCTACCTGCTCCAGGTGCTCCACGGCGGCCGTCTGCCGCGCCAGCTCCTTCTGCTGCTCGCCGGCGCTGGCCTCCAGGTCCCAGAGCTGCTTGCGGAGGGCGGGCACGGCGCGGGCGTCGCGGGCGCTGGGCGCGCTCAGCTCCTCCACGCGGCCGGCGAGCTGGGCCGCGCGCTGCGCCAGCCCGCGGGCCTCCGCCTCCTTCTGCTGCTCGGGGAGGACCAGGCAGGTCCCCATTGCTGCCCTCCTGCCCTTTCGCCCCTTCTTGCCTCCTGTGGCACCCGCTGCCTCCCTCCCTGCCCTGCGTTAAGGAGTGATGTGTTTGGGGTGTCCTGCTTGCCACTACCACCCGCCTGTGCAGGTACTGGACCCACATCCCACGGGATCTGCACCAGGAGCAGCTTTGCACAACAGGAGTACGGGGGACTTGGGAAAACAGGGAGCCCCTAGGAGGCTAAAGTGCAAGGATTGGGGCTCTGCTTGCAAAATACCACTGCGTTTCCCTCTAGAAGAGGATGCTGCTATTTAAACACACCAGGCACATCCCAGGGCTGCACTAAAAGAAATTAGAATCAAGCTGCCTGGTTTGTAACTGATTGTCCCTGATGAAAGCGCCAAGATAACGGCTTTGTCCTCAGGGCTGCTCGGAGGCTGCAGGGCACGCAGCGGAGCGCCGTGCTTCCCTCTCACCTCCAAGCTCTGCTGGAGTTTGGTCATCTCCCATCGGATGCTGCTGTTCTCCTGTGTCACCTTTTCTCGGAGGCTCTTCTCGAAGGCAGACTCCCCCAGGGCCTGGGCCAGCTGCAAGTCAAACCTACACAGGAGGAGGACCCCTCACCCTGCTGCGGAGCACATGGAGCAGGCGAGGGGATCGGGATAGGGACAAGGAGCTTCCTCTGCACCCGGTTCGCAGGGGCCTTCCCGGGGCAGCCCGGCCGTGAGCCCCGGGGCAGCGGGTGACACGGGCAGGGAGGGCAGCACGTCTTACTTCTTCTGCTTCTTCTCCAGCTCGTGGCTGCGGCTCTGCTGGCTCTCGGCGAGCAGCCGCGTGTCCTGCAGCTCGCAGCCCAGCCGCCTGCACTTCCTGCGCGCGTGCTGCGCCGCCTTCTTGGCGGCCTCGTAGGCGGCACGCACCTCGCCGAGCTGCGGGGACAGGCACCCGTGAGCGGCCGCGCCAGCCCGCCGCGACGGGCTCCTGCTCCAGCTCCTGGCGCCAAGACCTGCCACCGAGCAGGCACCGACCCGCGCGCCCTACCACCCACCACATCTCCCCCGCGCCCCCCGACCAGCCCCTGCCCTCCCCGGGGGGAGACCAGAGCATCTCCTCCCCTCGCTGCACAAATGGAGAGCCCAGGCTGAACAAGGGGCAGGTATTTCCCAAGGATCTGCAGCACACAGAAGTGCTGAGCTCCCACAAGCCAGGGAGCTGCCGTGCTAGGGAATGACTTTAAATAAGCAAAATCGGTAATGAAGCCTGTAATTCCACACTAACTATCTGGAAGCAAATGGGCTGTGTTGCATTACCTGAGCTCCTAAGAACAGGCTGCTTTTCTATCACTTGTTAATGTACCATGAACAGCGCGCCTTCCTTTATTGTGTCCTTCGGGCTCCCAGCTTTGGGCCCGGTGTCTCCCACAGGAGCAGCTCCTGCCCCGCTCACCTTCTGCTCCAGCTCCGTCCTCGAGCCCCGCTCGGCCTCCAGCCGCTCGTCCAGCTGCGCCAGCCGCTTGCGCAGGAAGCCGATCTCGGTCTGTGCGCACTCGAAGCGCACTTGCCACTCGTCCCCTGGGAAGGCAGGAGCACGTTGGCTCCAACGGCCACCGGCCTGCTGCGTTCCCAGTCCATTCCCGGTGCATCCCTTCCCACGGTGCTCCCCACCCCAGGCAGTGCTGGAGGAGCAAAACCTTCCTCCTTGTCCCCTCAGCAGCCTCCTCATCTCGTTAGTGCTCAGCATGGGTTTAAGCACCCTGCACATGCCCCTACCTCCACCGGAGCCGCTCAGCTTCATCTCGCGCAGCTGGACCAGCTGCTGCGCTTCTTCCAGCTGCTTCTCCACTGACTCCAGTTTCTTCTGCACTTGCTCGTGTTTGCTCTGGCAATAAAAGCAAGGAGGAGGGAAGCAGTGGCCGAGGGCACCGGTGCTCGCGGGGCGCGCGGCATCGCGCTCCCTACCTGCAGCTCCTGCAGCTGGCGCGCGGCCCGCAGCCGCTCGGCCCGCTCCCCGTCCAGCGCCTGGCACGCGGCATCGCCCTTGTAGCGCTCGTCCGCCAGCTCCGCGCTCAGGTCGATGATCTGCGTGCGGAGGCGGCACCGCAGGTGAGGCTGGGCTGAGGCCCCGGGGCTCCCTGTGACCGACGTCTGCGCGCGCCGCGTGCCAGGGCACAGGGACAGGGACCCTGCGGCCCCCGGCGGCCGCACGCACCCGCACAGCCCGCGCCACACAGCCCGCCGCGTGCTGCAATCAGGGCTGGCGAGGCCCCCGTGCTCCTCTGCCTGATTAGCATGAAATTTCATTCCAAACAAAAAGCAAATGAATGGAGAAGTGAATTATTAATCCAAGAATTAATTGCGCTTTTTGCAAGGGGGCCGAGTTGGTCCATCCCCATGAGGGGTAGCAGGGGGAGCAGTGCCAGCATCTTGGAACCAGTCCTTACACCTATGAAACACCCAGAAAAACAGCCCCAAGAGGGAAGCATGCAGCCCTGAAATGGTTCTTCTCCTGCTTCTGATGCCACCTGTCCAGCTCGGCTGCTCCTGCCAGGATCAGAGCTGCAGTCAGAGATGGAGCCCATATGCCAGGGTCCTCAGAGCAACCTCAGCGTTTCGCCTGCTGATGCTAAACGATCCCCTCTCCTCCCTTTCCTCCCTGCAATCGTGCGCAAGCCGAGGCACCCACAGTGACCCGAGACACACAAAGTGCTGCACGAGCCTCCGGGTCCTTTCCGAGGAGCAGCTGGATGGCAGCGCCAGCGCCTCCCGAGCCGGAGCCCCCTCGCTGCCACTTCACTGTCCCCGCTCGCGTGGGTCACACAGGGCACCCGGGGAAAGGCCGGCTGCCTTCACTGCCGCTCTCTCCTCATTACTGGCACTCGTTCCATCAAACCAAGCCACGTGGGGGTCTGCGGAGGTCGCCAAGATTGCAGTGTGGAGAGTGTAATGAGAGTGTGATGCATTCGTATCTAATTTCCTATTCTCATTAGTGTCCTTGTCGGGAGAAGCGGCCGCATGGTGCTGCAATGCCCCAGCAGCACGGCAAGCCGGGGCAGGGCCGGCCCGGCTCCCTCCTGCGGCACCCGGAGCACACGGGCCGGGATGCGGCGGGAGCACGGGATTTGGATCGGGGCCACACACAGGATGCGGGTGGGTGCATGGAGTGTCAAAGCCCCCAAGGATTCCTGGGGACAAACAAGGTTATCTCTGGGGATGTCACCCCGTTTCCCAGGCCAGGACCCCTCTCGGGTGTGCCGCAGGGACACTGGTCCCAAGGCACAGACTCAGCTCCCGCAGAACCAGCCTCGGAAGACACGGGTCCTGCTGGCAGCCCAGCCGCCTGGGGCTCCCTCCTGCTCCACACTCCCCCGCGCAATCACGCGCTGCAGTGTGAGCTCTCCCCAGGCTCGGGCTGCAGGGCCAGGCCACGAAAGGCCTTAAAAAGAAACAACCGCCGCGCAGCTCCAGCAGCGACAAGCAGCAAACGATGATTGCACCCCGAGACACAGGGCCGAGAGCGGCAGAGAGCTGCCGGCTTCCCACACGGGCACAGCTCACGCCCGCGACCTGAGAAAATTAATCAGCGGGTAAGGACCCTTCTCCGGTGAGGAAAAACAAGCGGCAGCTGGCGAGGGAGCACTGAGGCACGTGCAGGGGCCGCGCGGCCGCCCGCTCCGCGCTCGCTGCTCTGCCGAGGAAGGGCCGTGCTGCAGGGCAGCCCCATGGGCACGCACAGCCCTTCCCGCACCCGGCGCGGCCGCTGGGTCCCACTGGAGTCCTTCATCGCCGTCCTTAGCCATCGTCCCGGGGCTCGCGGGGACCCGGGCGTGCTGCGGGGCAGCTCCCTGCCCTCACCTTGCTCTCCAGCTTTTCCGTGTTCTGCCTGAGCTCACTGCATGACTGCTCTGATTTCTCCAGCTTTCTTCTCAGCGCTGCCAGCTCCTCCTGGGCAAAATTGCAAGAAAAAGAAAAAGATTTTGAGGGCTCCAATATCCTCGGTTTATTTATGAATACATTGTTTTCTGTTAAAAGTAACTGGGAGAGACATAACTGCCTTATTAAAAAAATTTACCAGGCAGATTTGAAGGCTTCTCACCACAAATTGCTAGGACTCTAACTCCTGACAAGAATTTCGTTGGAGGGAATGTCAGCTTTGGTGTATGTACAGAGCACCGAGAGAGAAGCAAGCCTCAGAAGCTGGAGATGAGCATCCAAGCGTCTGAACTTTGCTCATCAAGTGCTCCTCGCGAGGCTGGCGGGCTATCAGAGAGCGGCGGCGCAGGCACGTGGGCTCTGTGATTTCCTTCAGCAGCCTCACTGCAAAGGCTGGTGCAAAGAGAGCGCCTGGCTGCAGGGCTGGCCTGCTTTGATGTCCAGCAGCGAGCACAAGCAGAGTGTGCAGGGAGGTGATAAAAGCAGAGGCCAAGAGGTGGGGAGCCAAGGCAGTTCTGGAGAGGGAAAGGCACGCTTGGCCGGCTTTCACTTTGTCTGAACCAGGCTAAAAACATCTCGTTAAAACTTCACTAAAGCAAGAGGAGGAGCAAGAAAGCCAGAGAAGATGGGCCAGGAATTTGGCAAGGGTCACACGCTGCAAGAAAGGCTGAGAGGTGGCTTTCCACCCACTAAAGAGTCTCCCATCACCAATTTCAGCCCTGGTAGAAGCAAGCACAACTCTGATGACATTCCAGAGCAGAGTCCCTTACATCAAGGATGGACTTGGCTTGCTCATCCGCTCCGTCATCCCAAAGACCCATGTGGGGACAGGCAGCAAGGGGCTCGATGTCAGGACCCAAACGACAGGACACCAGGACAGCCACGTCCCTGGAATGCGGCTGGACTATGGGACACCTGCAACCGCCCCTCCAGGGAAGGAAGGGTGTTGTTTCTCCCTTTGCATCTCTACAGGACATGTTACTCAGGGCAAAAAAATGCAGTGCTAAGAACATAGAGACTTCTGGATAGCCAGCATAACCTTTCCCTTGGTAGAAGGTGCTTCCAACTTGACTAGTCTACTAAGCAGGGCCCCAAAAGCATCCAACCCCATGCCACCCCATCCCATCCCACCCCATCCCTCAGTACGTACTTCTTTGGCACGGAGCTGATCTTCGGCCACATGGATGCTGAGCATGGGCCGCACACGGCTCATCAGCTGCCACCAGGGCCAGTGCCGCACCACCTGGTAGACCGCCAGGTTCTTCTGGATGCACCGAACGGCGAGGCACTGAATCTGCAAGGAGAGGCAGCTGGCAGGGGCAGCAGGCGCAGCCTCGGCCCGCGGCGGGGCAGGGCCAGCCTGGCTGCTCAGCTGCTACCGCTGGGAAGGGCCGTGCTGGAGCCGGCAGCAAGCGGAGGGAGCGGCATCGCGAGGGACAAGCTGCACGACACGCTGCGGCCACCAGCAGCTCATGGGCCAGGGTCACCAACCTGCTCCACACGGTGCATGGGGCTCTGCGCTACCAGTCAGAGCTTACAGCAAGCGCTGGGAATTCGTGACCCGAGGGACAGATACCTTCAGCTTCTTGAACTTCTGCCGGCTGAGGAAGCCCTTGCAAGCTGCCTGCAGGAGGACCACTTTCGGGGATATCAGCTTGTTGCGCTGCTTCTCCAGCCTGGAGATGACGCCCGGCTTCAGGAAAACCTAGCAGCAAGCAGAGGCAGTTAGTGACCCTCAAACAGAGTCTGTCGCCAGCATCTGTCCAGCCAAGACACCAAAGTCACCACCAGTCTGTCCCCAGCCCTCCCCAATGTCCTGAGCCACCAGCACAGAGCCAAACACGGCCCTGCAGAGGTGCCAGCAGCCCTGTCCCCACCAGGTTCATGAGGACTTCAGTGCTAAACATCCCCCGTCTTTTCACTGTGCTCACAGTGGCCCTGCCTCTGCTCTCCCCTTCCCTTTTGACATAAGCATCATTAATTAACAATAAGTTGAACATCCTTGAAACATCTTCCATGGGCCACTGCGCATCTCCTCCCCTCTGCAAAGACCACGCTGCTCCCTCTGCCTGCAAAGGCCTTGCCAGCAGCGTGCACACCCCAGGTAACAGCAATGGAAAATGCAGGCTGGTTTACAATGGGAAGAACAAAATTAACCACATCATTTTCTCCAGCTGAACTTGCCATAAAGATGCCATAAACAACAGAGATTGCTAATGCCGGTGAATTTAGCCCGCTATCGATCTCTGCGAATGTAAGATGTGTCTCGGGCGCTGCCTGCTGAAGCCCTTGGGATGTGGACCAATCGCTCCCAAATATTGCACATCATTTGCATAATTCAGCTTTAATAAATGATAAATTATGTTTATGAACCCCGTGGCATACTTAAAGAGCTGCATTTTAAAGATGGCAAATTGAATCAAAGCACAATTCCAGGGAAACTCACTTTCTTGAGATAATGCTATGATTGCTTCGCCACCTATTTGATTGTTTCATTAATGCCTGTATTAACTTCACAAGCCAGTGAGTTTTAGAAGCTAGTACAAAATCAATGCTCAAAGTGATGGCAAAACTAACTCCTATATAACAAGATGTGGCTGGAGCTGCTATCGCACTATTGATTAAGTACAAGAGTTTCATAGAAGAGATAATTGCAAACTGCAGTACGCAGGATGAAAGAAAGTTATGCTGCTTTGCAGAACTGCTCCATGAATTCCGTCTTTATAGACTCCAGGAGCTAAATGCAAGCATGCATACAAAATTAATTTCTCTTTGAGCTTATTACTTTTAAGTTCATATTTTGTTGCTGTGACAACTATTGCATCCGCACCAGCAGCCTTTTAACCCCAATCCATTAAAGACCACGAGCTTCCTAAGCCCCATTTAGTTCAGTGGGAAATCAAAGGTAATTAGGTACTTAACTGCCAGTAGGAGCTGGATTTCGGTGATTAGGTATGTAGTTTACCTAGGGTAATGCTTGCAAATGGGAACTGGGAACCTCCTCCTCAGTTCCCACTGAGGTTTTGGTCCCCCGGGCAAAGCCCGGCAGCACCGGAGATGCTTCTCCTCGTGCAGGCAGCCCGGGAGGGCTGGCAGTGCCTGGCCAGGGACCACGGTGGCCACACACACCGAGGGCTGCGGAGAGGGGCACGTCTGAGCGCCCGTACCTGGCTGCGTCCCACCGCAATGCTTTTCTTCTCTAGATCCAGCGCCTGGAAGAGCTCTTCTATGGCCTGCGGAGAGGGAGCACAGCAAGGTGTGACACAGACTTATACCGCTTATACCGCTCCGGACCCAGATCAGACTTGGGAAATGCCAAGAGAAATACTTTTTTCCTCAATTTTTCATTTAATTTGGGAGTGCGAGCAATAATATTATCGCTATAGCAAATACCAACCAACCAAAATATCCTCCAGCGCTTCCAGCTCAGACTTGATTTCCAGCTACAGTAACTGCAGCCCGTCTGTGCATGGCAGCGCTCTTTGGAGGAGAGGCCCCGGATCTGCTCAGGGTCCCGCACCCGAGCTGAGCTTTCATTAAGCTTAGCTCTTCTCAGGCTTGCAATGAAACCGTGGTCCATGTGCACTTCTCCAGTCCGGGATTTATTACAGAAATATCACTGAGAACCCTTAAAGATATTGGTAGATCTCCTGAGACATGCTACTAAACAAAATATTAGCCCAGCAGCTACTATTTTTCTTGGAAAATGCGTTACGCTGACAAGTACACTCCACTACTTCGTACATTCCCAAGATACTTGTTTACTAAAGGTGGGAAAAAAGGACACAATTCAGTTTCCAGCAAGTTGTTGTAGATGATTTCTCCAAATCCGAGATTTTTAGAGCACAAAATGAAAACAAATGGCTGTTTGTATCTGTGAATTAGCGTGGCCAGGAGCCTCCAAAGCAGCTTCTCAGCCACGAGCACCAGTCAGAAAGGGCTTGTTGCTGATCCCTTTGGGCTCCGGAGGGGCAGGGAAGGGGATGTGCAGGTGCAGGACAGGGGGATGCTCCCGGTGCATGTCCCAGGGCGCTGCCGGGCCATCCCGAGCCCCATCCCTGCCCTGCGGCCGACCGCAAACCCGCCGCGGCTCCAGCAAAGCAGCCTTCTGCTGCAGAAGTCGTGTGACGACGAGCTGCAGGGAGGATGGGATCTTTCAAATCTCCTGCTTACATGCTGCTGACGGGGCCCCCTCTCTCTTCCTACAGCGTTTAATAACAATATTGACCTTTTCCAACTGTCAAACTCGTCTTATTATATCCCGAGGTCTTAACTGCGCTGGCGCACACGGGCTGGCGCTTTGCACCGCGGCGCACGGGGCCCTGTTTAATTCCTCTCCTCCCGGCTCTTCCCACCCAGGCGCTTATCAGCTTCCGCAGCGGCCGTGCCGGGCGCCGCGCTGGCCTCCCCGCTCTCCGCTGCCCGTTTATTCACAAACAAACAAAACCGGCAAGTAAATAAAACCTTCTCCCTCGTTCCTGAGCTCTGCCAATCTGGAGGGTCTGCGCAAGGCGAGGAGATGCCTTGGAGCCCTGTCACGCGAGGGATGCTCCATGGGAATTGCCAGATCCCAGCTTCGATGGGGCAAGGGACGGGCATGTAAAAGGAGCTCAGTGACACAGCGTGTGCAACCCTGCCCTGCAAACACGGCCCTGCGAGGCTGGCAGCACCGGAGAGCCCTGGCATCCGCCCGCTCGGAGCAAGCAGGAATTCCAAAACTGTTTGCTTTTAAGGATTAAAAAGAAGCAATAGCAGGCTCCATTTCCAGGCGATTTCTCCAAGGCCTCTCCCTGGTGCAGTAAGGCTGGCAAACGCAGCCCACGCAGGGAGCGCTGGTTGCGCAGTCCCGAGGGGCACTAAAAGCAGAGTCTTGCGTTATCCTGGGAGCAGGCTGGGCTCGCGTGGGGCTCCGCTCCCCCTGCTCGCAGCCCCGCGTGGGAAGAGCGAGGACGAGCAGGATGCCAAGCTGCCCCTGCTGCCCAGAGCCTCCTCCACCATGCACGGGGTTGTGGAGTGTACCCGGACCCCAACCCCAGCAGCACATGGGGAAAAGTACACGAAAGCAGCAGCTACTCTTCTCCAGGGGTTAATCCCCTGCTTTAGATAAGAGGAAATAGGAGGAAAAGAGGATGCTTTATACGCTGGCAATGAATTATATGGCTGCAGCGCATGATGCCAGAGCACAAAGCGGAGATGCCTCACGGTTCCTACATGGTTTCTTTCCAAAGGCAGCAGCGACGCAGGCCCATCGCCAGCCCTGTAAGATGTGCAGCTCCTGGGCACTAGTACCAGTGCTGCCAGCTCTGTGTCTGGACAGACAGGAGGACTCTGCAGACCCCTGGGCCTCACTGTCCTGCAGTAACCAATTTGTCCCACCAAAAAATAGGCAGGCTTGGAGGTGGGAAGATACTCCAGCAGCAGTGCAGGAGAGAGGACGGCCAGCACCACACACACCCACGGCTGCCGGAGCAGGGCTGTGTGATCGCTCCAGCGACTGCTCCTAATTGCACAGTCTCGACCGGGCCAGGAGGGCTCGGAGAGCTCCCGCAGGGAGCACGGCAGCCCCGGCCATACCTTGCTCTCGTCGGGCACCTCGTAGGCGGACGTGTGCTTCCTCATCACCTCCGGCGCCAGCACCTGGAAGCGGCGCCGGAACTGCGCGAGGGGCAGGCGATCCGCATACCCTGCGCACAGCGGGAGGGCAGGAATGGCTCAGGGGGGCGCGGGCTGCGGGTCCCGCCGGAGCAGAGCACATCGCTCCCGCTCGGGCCGGGCACGGCGCGTCCCGAGGCAGCGGCAGGTCCCGCGCCGTGCGCTCGTGCTCACCCGCGCGGTAGAGGCGCACGGCGTCCAGCAGCTGGGCGCCCGCCAGCTGCGCTCGCAGCACCGGCACGTCCAGCCGCGGCTCCCCATCAGGCGCCGCAGCCGCCCCGGCTCCGTCCCGCGGAACCAGGCAGTGGATGAAGTGCAGCTGGCATCTCCTGAGCAGGTTTACGAGCGCGTCCTGCCAGAGAGCCGGACACCGGCAAAGGCATCAGCGCTGGAGGGAGCGGGGAAGGGGACGCGCACAGGGGTGGATGGGGGAACGGGGTCGCACAAGGGGCGGACTGGCCAGCTTGCTCTGCCCGCCTGGGGATTTAATGGGTGAAAAGGAGCAATTCTCAGAGCACTAGAAATTCAACTGCATAACCGGGAATCGCAGCTTCTGCTGCAGGTGTGAGGCTGAGAGGCAAGTCACAGATGCCAAGCTGAACCTTTCTTTACATTGACAGGAAAATCGGTTAGGAAAACCCAACAAGTGGGTGTGTTCCTGCAGACGCTTTTGCCCATGCGCTCTGTCAGGGAGACCCAGGACCTGCAGGAGACCTGGCAGATCAGTCTGCAGAGACCATGGCCTGTCCTCTCAGGAGGACTTGGGCACCTAATTACCACTAGTGTAATTACCACCAGGAGCCTGGCACGTAACTCGCATGCTGGGCTGTTCCACCGGGTCGCACCCCGCGCGGCCGGGCACACACAACCTGCTCGGGGCGCTCACCGCCTGCAGCCTGAGCTGGGCACACACGGATTTCCTCCTCACGGCAGCAAAGCTGTTGGCGAAGGTCTTCCTGACGCAGCCGATGCGCTGCAGGGCCGGCTGGGAGTGCCCCTCCAGCCCCGCCACGGAGCGGCAAGCCAGGGGCGCTCTGGACCGGGGCAGGAACAGGTCCCTCAGCGCCTTCCTGTCGGGAGTGAAGCACAGAGACAAGGATGACAGAGCTGCAGCTGCCAGGGCCTGGGAAACCCTCTTGGCCATGAGTTTAACAGTCCTCTGAAGGGGAAGCAAGACATTATGGCCTCCCTGCAAGGCCAGCCCAGACCCACCAGCAGCAAGAGCCCATGGCCCGCAGGATCAGAGGGTGCAGAGGCACCTTTCACTCTGCTGCTTATCCCTGCCCTGGGCACCGAGCTGTTTGTGGTTATTAAAACTTCCCTCAACTGAAGCCCAAACAACATGAGCTGAAAGTCATTAAACAGAAGGTTAAATTTACGGTGGACGTGAAGATGCCGATAGCAGCTTGATTGCATTTCAATTCCAATTTAGCTTGCAAGGCTTCTAGCGCAGCAGTGCGAGCGCGAGCGGTCGCTGCGGGGAAGTTGCCCTTGGTGGGCAACTTGCAAGGTTTCTAGGGCCCTCATACGTACACCTTGGACTGCTGCAGGACTTTGATGGCATTTTGTGCAGCCAAGTTGAGCTTGGCTTTGTTGAGCCAGCCAGTGAAGTCGTAGCGGACAGGGTCTGTGCCTAGCTGGTGGAGGATCTCGAAGTGCAGCTCCTGCTCGCACTTGCGCACGTAGCGATCATCTGTAAGAGCAGCACAGCAGCAAGAGGAGCTTATGGGGCAGGAGCCGTGTGGCTGCAGGTACAGGGAGCTCTGCAGGGGTTGCATCCAAAGGGTTATCCTGGGCTCGCTCCTCCTGGCCCTGCACAGCAGCCAGAAAGCGCAGGGAGCCGCCGAGCTGCCCCGTGTGCCCCTTACCCTCCAAGTCAGCTCCTGTCTTGGCAAAGTAGGAGCAGAAGCGGTCGAAGGCAGCGCCGTCCCCAGAGCCTTGAACTAGCACCTCCTCGTCCAGGATCCAGAGCAGCCCGCGGGGCCCGGCTGCTGGGCTCCCGGGCAGAGCCTGTGGCTGGCGACGGAAAAGGTGCTCAGGGCTCGAGAGGGGCAGGCAGGGCACGAGCTCCGTCCTGCGCGGCCACGGGGAAGGGAGGCAGCTCTGCCCAGCCCTCCTCCTGCCCGGACAAGCCACACCGGACTCGGGGAAGCCTCCCGGCCTGCGCTGCTCCGTTATCGCCCTCGGCACAACACTGCCCTGCAGAGCCAAGTCGGTTCCGGCTCTGCTGCCGGGCTGCAAAGGGTGCCCAGGATGGAAGGGGCTGCCAGGTTTGACCAGAGGGACGTGTAAACGTGCAGTGCAGAGCACCTCGCAGAGCAGCGAGACCAAAGGGCCTTCCTGGTGGGCCATTTACCCTGCGACCAGCAGACCAACCACCAGCTATTGTCTGCTTGGGATCCCTTGGGAAGTCTAGTGCCTTTCCCGTGATCCCGGCTGACAGCTGCCACATCCGCACGCTGCTGGCACCGTCACCGCTCTGCACGCCGGCCGTGTCCCCGCTGCTGTCATGCAGTTCCCAGGGAAAGGGCAGCTGCGGAGCCGGGCTCCGGCTGCCACCAGGATAAGGGATTCCTCATTTCCAGGTCACCAGTCCGGGCCCAACCCGGGTGCACATCTCACAGTTCAGCAGTGGCTCTTCAGCCACCTGCAGGAGACAAGCTGGACTTGGGCAGCCAGCCAAAACCCACAGCATCAAAGAGCACAGCACGTCCTGGCGCTGAGCACAGCGCGGCCGCGCCGCCTCCCCGGGCAGAGAGGAGAGGCTGGGAGCCGTGCCTGGAGCCCGGCACCTCCCAACAGGACGAACAGAGCTTTGGAGACACAGGCTGGGGCGGCAACGACTTGGCTGCACATCCTAGGACACGCAGACCTCATCCCAGGGGCTCTCTACACCTTCACCAGCACTAAAAGGTGCTTTAAAACACCAAGAAGATCCCAGGCAATGCTGTACCCGTCTCTCTAACACCCTAGAAGCTGCTCTGCTCATGCCAAGCGCATCACGAGGGATCACAAGACATCACGACATCTCCCTCTGCCTCAGGAAATCCTCGCTCCTCTGCGAGGGGGAAAGGTGCCTATGAAGTGCCAGTGCTTCTAGCATGGGCAGAGCAGCAAATTACCCTCTGATTATCAGCACAGATTACCTGTGATGGGTTCAGATCGACGACAGACAGCGTGGCCCTTGGAGAGAGCTCTGGAAGATCAAAAGACACCTCAACATTTTCCTGGAAAACATTAGTTAAACGTTCACTTCAGTCACGGTCTGACACGTGAAATCCAAAAGGAGAGGCACGTGCAAAGGGGGGAAGGAGGAGGCGCTGCCGCCCGCAGCCCGCTCTGCCTCGCGGGATGCCGCGGAGCGAGCGGTGTTCCCGGCGGGACGGCTCTGGAGCGACGGCAGGGCAGGAGCACTGTCAGCACCGCCGCGCTCGCAGGGCTCCGGCAGTGCTCCCGCGTGTGCCAGACAGCTGGCATAAATAATGGAGACGGATGAAAAAAAATAACAGCTGAAGACTTAACAAGAAAGCATCAAGAAAATAATCAATTATTTAATTTGCAGCTCGAGGGCTCCCTGCTGTTTTTGTTAAATTCCGCTATCTAAAAGCAGCGGCGCAGGTTGAGGGCTGCGCTGCCCGGCTCTGGGCGCTGCGGGGCTCCGAGGACACTACGTGGGCTCCGAGGCTCCCACGTGGGCTCCGACTGCAGGGCAGGAGCGGCAGCGGCTCCACTGTGCATATCAGCAGCGTATCCACCGCTGCCGAGAGGCACACGGGCACTTACGTGGCTTGGGCTGGGGGAACGTTAAGCCACGTAGATTCAACTGCTTTTCCAAAAGTAGCAGTATTAAAGTATGCTTAATAATGCCTAATAAGCTTATGTCTGTTTATAGAATTTTATAGCAGTTTATTGCTGCAGTAATTTACCATTTTGCTATTTATTCTCTATCAAGCACCTGCACAAACCTAGCAAGGGTTCAGCTGCGTGAGCAGGAGGGCCCAAAGCTTTCGGAGCTGGGAAAGCTCGCCTGAACAAAAGAGGCCCAGAGCAGCCCGGCCTTTCTAGCATGCAAGGAAAGATGCTGGTCCAAGAGGCCTGGGGCAGCAGGGAACTTGGCTCCAGACCGCAGCACCTCCCAACACCCTCCCATTCAAGCTGCTCCGTGGAGTTATCGGGCCGCAGCCGCAGGGGACGAGGGCTGTGAAGCCACACAGAAGGCTCGTGCCTCTGGGGGCACGAGGGACGTTCCGGCCGTGGCCCGGGCGGGAGCGCAGCCCCAGCTCCCGGGAAGCTGCCCTCACCTCCTTGTAGCGCTCCATTTCGGAGACAAACGTCCTCTCGTAGAAGAGGCCCTGCAGCCGCTCGTGCACGTAGTTGTGGCAAAGCTCCTCGAAGGTGGCCGCTCGCTCCGCGCCCTCGTGCCGCGGGTTGTGGAAGCCGGGGGTGTCCAGCACCGCGATGGAGGCCATGGAGAGGTGCTGGGACGAGAAGGACCTGGGGAAACATCACAAGGGGAGCTGCTGTGCAGAGCGGGGGCAGCTCCACGCAGCCGCCGAGCACCGTCCCGGCACCTTCCACCCTCCGGCCACCTCCTGCCCACGTCTCCGGTCCTGCAGCACCCGCAGCCACAGAGCACCTTCTCTTCTCTTGCCCCTTGCAGCCTGATTTTCACCCACATCTTCATCCATCTACTCAAGCCTGGTGCTTTCTCCCAGCCTAGAACAGCCAGTCTGGCACAGGCTGTTCCAGCCTGGCTTAACGAATGCTTTGTTAATGAGAGGATGAGATGTGGCCCCTTCCACACTTGTTCTTGTCTTGACACTCTACTTATTTATAATCCTAAATCTTAATCCAGATGCATTAGGTTCAACAGAACAGTTGATTTGAAAAGTGGCTAAACCAGCATGTGATGCCACCATTGATGACGAGAGGATTTTGCAAAACACAAATTGTAGGACCATGATGTATATGGCGCTTGTGCAGGAGAAAACTGCCAATCTTTAGTTCTTGTCCAAGTCTATCATTGGAATTGCTGAGAGTAACAGGCATTATCTGGGGAAGAGGCATCAAGCTGGTCCCTGGGAGCAGGAGAGATGCTGCTCACAATTCTTAAAATGTTGCTTGCAGCCATTCCCAGCGCTGCAGGGCAGCGGGGAAGCACAACCTGGCACATCCCTGGGAATTAAACCTGCATTTCTGGAGCGGCCCACGGGCTGCAGAGCTTCTGGGCACCTCCCACCGCCCCCTCCAGCAGGCAGCCCTTGCATGGCACCAGCGGGAGGATGCATTTCTCCTGTATAGAACAGGCCACTGAGGGTCCCTGCACCCCGATGGAAGTGCAAGGTTGAAGGGAGGAACAGCAGCGTGTTCAGGGGCTGCTTAAAGACTCTGAAAGCGCAAGGTTGAATGAAGAAACAAAAATGTACTCAGGAACTGCTTGGAGAATTTCCTATCAGCACGTTCCTGCAGCAGCACCAGCGCGTGTGACGTTCTGGCACTGCAGAAGCTGAAAACGATTCGTGTTCACAATCATTATCAGCTCACTGAGGAAAATAACATTTTCCTGACTGCATTGAAACATCTGTTTTCACTTGGACCGACACAATTTCTGTTGCAACGGTTAAAAGGATTTGGTAGGTCGCCTTGGAAAATAAAACCAGGAAAAGCAAAGCAAGCTTTAGAGGGAAGATAGGACATGGGACATATCTTCTGAGCTAATGCTGTTATTCAAAAGAACCAGCAATATTTTGCTCTTCTGCTGTTGCTGAGACCTTACAGTAATTCCCCTTTGAAAGCTGCTTGCCATGAGTCGAAATAGAGAGTACGCAAGTGCAGGCTAAAATAAACCTGGGACAATGACATGGAGTATTTCCAATCACCAGATTTCATGTGGATGCTGACTTTGAGGATTTGAGTTGTGAACCAGAGTTAAGAAAATTAAACGGTTTGGGAGCCTGATTCCTCTCTTAGCCCACTATTAAATTACTCCACTTGGGTAGATAATTCCAGATTTGCACCAGTTGACCAGGTACCCGACCACAGAGGATACCCCTCCTGTCCTGACTCTTGAGTTAGGAAGGAGAACAAGGACGTGCTGCTGCAACGCCAGGGAAAAGCAGGACTTGCTGAGCTTCACCAGTCCGCGGTCAACAGGACACACACAGACTGATAAAGCATCTCTGGGGCCAGAGCCTCTGGTTTTTGATAGTTTGATCCTCTCTTGCAATCAGGCTTTTATCAAGAAGCCATTCCTAGCAAGGCTCTGCCTGGCTCACCACGGGAATCCCCGGCTGGATGGTTGCTCTGTACATGCTGGTAACCTTGATTTCAATCTGCAAAGTCACATCTATTATTAATAAGTAAACAAGCTGCATCTCTCGGCGCTGCAATGCTCTGATTTCAGCTGCTCGGTATTTACACTTACTGTGCTACCTCCTGGGAAATGAGATTAGTGGAAGTGTCTCCAGAGCAGCAGCAGCTGACGGAGGTGTGTGCTGCAGCAGAGAAGGTGCTAATCGGCTGCCAACACCACGGGCATCCCATGGCCAGGGATGCCTTGGCTCCCGAGGAGCCAGGAAGGCTCCTGGCCAAGAGCAGGTGAGGCCAGGAGGCTGCGGCCGTGTCTCGCTGCAGCAAAAGCCTCCACCTTCAGAAAAGCCAGGCTTGCACTGGGCTGGGAAGCAGGGCAGCCCAAGGGACACGGTGCCATCCCTGCACACTGGGGACGGCATCGAAGCTCCAATAGCTCAGCCTTCCTCCCTCCATGAAGGCACCAGGAGAGAAGCAGCGACCTGGCACGGGGGGACTGGCCAAAGCGGGCAGTGCTGCCCACTGGATGCATCTCCCCAGGGAGCTCCCCGTCACGGCCGCTCTTGGCTCGGGCCAGAAGGACACACGAGCAGCGACCGTCACCAAGCTGCCTCCTTTCAGGTGCACAGAGCCCCGCAGCGCCCGTACCTGTTGATGAGGGAGACGACGGCAGCGAAGAGCTCCTCGTAGAGGCCCGCGGCCATGCCCGCCACGCACTCCGCGCCCGTCATCTTCGGCCCTAGCCAAGAATGAGAAGAGCAGGCAGAGACAAGGTCATTCCCCCGCGGAGCACGGCCCGCGCCGCCGTCTCCCTGGCTCTCCAGGCAAGGCAACCCGCGCTGCTCCTCATCTCTGCCTGCCAGATGCTACATAACTCCAGTTACACCAGCAATAAATACCCAGGTGTGTATTTCCAGCTCCTCTAGTGCTGCTGGCCTAATTTATATTTAAGAAATAAATCTTTGCTGTATTAAGGGCCAGGGCTGCAAGTTCTTGCTTTTATCAGCATAGCCTGCAGCAGGCCGGCTGTAATTCAGTCACCGAGGTCTAGTCTGGCAGGGAAAGGCTGCCCATAAAGCTGGGCAGTATCTGCTATGCTCCCCCGGCACGTGCTGGATCTGCAGCTGCAAATTAGCTCCATGCATCAAAGTGCAGCTTGCCCCGGGTCGGCAGCGTGCAGCCCACGGCACCGTGTGCGCGGCAGAGCTCCAGCCTCCTGCAAGGAAGCTCCCTGACAGCGGCCCTTGTGCTGCCTCTTTTTTCCCTTTTGGCCCTTCCTCTTCCTTTCCTGGGGGAGCTCTCCAAGCCCTTCCCGCTCTCTCTTTCCCCGAAATCCCGCCGGTTGCTAGGGAACAGGCAACCTCCCTGCGCCCTCCATCACCGCGGCCGGGCTGCAGCACGCGCTGGGAGCCACGAGTCCTGGCTGCAAACGCACGCGAGGGGAAACAGATTTGCAAAGAAAAATACTGTCACAAAGGAGGGGACAAAAAAGCGTGCGCATTGGATTAGGTTGGTGCTCCCTGTGAACTGCTCTCGCTGCCAGACAGCAGCGGCCAGCAAAATACTCTTGTGCCCTAAGCCAAGCGGCCTCTGCGTTCTGCTTAGGAGCGCCCAATATTTGCAATTTCCCCAGCTGCTCGTTGATGCCGCTCACCCTACCCGACGTGTCCCCATGCTGCCATGGCAGCCCTGGCACGTCCAGAAGCACCAGACTTTCCCACTCAGGAGCGGTGCCGAGCACCGTGGTCCCGCATGCACCGCAAGGAAAGCAAACGCCGGTACCTGGAGGCGCCTCGTCGGCCGGGGCCGGGCGGGCGCCGCGCGCCGTGACCTGCTCGATGATCTGCTTGAGGTGGTGCTTGAAGACGGCGGTGGTGAGCTCCTCGAGCTCGCAGCCCAGCGCCTCGGCCGCGCGCGCCGCCCACTCCATCTTCATGAACTGCTTCCTGCCCACTGCGGAGGGGAGAGAGGAGACGGTGCAGGGGACGGCCGCCCGGCACCCGCTGCAGCGCAGCCTGGGCACGAGGGGCAGCTCTCCAGCCCACCTAGACGTGCCCTGGGAAGGACACATCCCCCTGGGCCAACGTGGCCGTGCTGGCCACGGAGACCTCTTATTAATTAGCAGCTCCTTGGACAGGTTTTAATGAGATCCGTCTCGATGTGAAATCCCAGCCCACGCTGGCTGACAGCGCCCGGGTTCGCAGGCGCCGGGGCCAGGCCAGGCGTGGGAGCTCCGCTGCTCTGAGCTCCGCGCGACCCGCAGGCTCCGGCACGTCAGGAACCGTGCACTTCTTGGTCCTTCATGGCATCCTGCTGGGCGCAGCACCCACGGGACGCGTGGTGAGAGAGCCTGTGGCTGGGCTGGGTGCAGGAGCAAAGCACAAATGCCATTTTCTGCCTATTTCGGAAGCTTCAGTGGACAGAACTAGCAGATGTGTTTATGGAAGCTGATGGGATTACAACTCAAGCCCTTAAAATCCAGGCTCCCCGCGCTCAGACTCACCAGCACCTGCTGTCCCTGTAACCCCGAGAGCCGCCTTGCTCGTGCGCCCTCCACCAACAGAGCCGACATGCACTTCCAAAGGAAGTTATTTACATCCAGCAGAGTGATTCCAGCTTAATGATTAAAATCAATAGGGAGACAATCCGCCGGATAAATCCTTTTAGGGACCCGGGCATGAAAGAGGCTCCGGAGGCAGCCAGCTGGCCCGAAAGCAGGAGCGGCGACGCAGCGAGCGGGAGCTAAGGCGGCGCGAGTGCGAACCCCGGGTGCCGCACAAGGAGCCAGCCCTGGGTCCGCAGCAAAGGTGAGCCCAGAAAATAAAGCAAGAAGCCGCCCGCGATGGGCAAGGATCGAGCGGGAGGCAGCCGTATCCTGCACCTCAGTGCTCGCCAGCTTCCAGCACCAGCCCTGGGGCACCTTTCCAAGCGGGGAGCTGCGCACGGACTCCCATCAGCACAAACAGTCCTGAAACGCTGCCTGTGCTGGGGGGTTGCACGGGGCTCTTCCCGGAGCTGCTCCCCAGCTGCTGAGCCCTGTAGGGCTGGACGGGTCCCAGGCCCGGCCCCGCAAACGCCTCTCGCTGCCCTCCCAGGTGCCCCAGTGCCGCCGGGGCGAGCGAGGCCAAGCAGCGTTTCACACCCCATAAAATATAAATAGCGGCAGCGGCAGCAGCGTGCGGCCGCTCAGTGTAACCTGACCAGTGTAAAACACGCCAGCCTCGACACCTAAAAGGTAATTGCTTTGGCACAGTTAATATTTAAGAGAGGCCATATGAAAACCTGGCGTCAGCAGCAGGCGATCCCTGTCCCGCAGCTGCAGGGCGTCGATGCCGCTGCGTCGGCCGCGCTCCAGGGAACGGGGCAGCGCGGGGCCGACAGCCTCGCCAGCCCTGCCGGCTCCCAGGCGGCCTGCGGTGCCACCCGGGCAGCGGACTGGGTTGCTGTGGGGCGGCAGGGAAACGCGCTCTGCCCGTGCAGGGACCTTGCACCGGTGTCCGTGCAGGGACCTTCCACCAGCTCTGCCCATATCCGTGCAGGGACCTTCCACCAGCCCAAGGGCACGAGGAGCAGCCCAGCAGGGCAGGGAGCTACTGGAGCTCCTAGGGATCTGTGTGGCCCAGCAGCCTGCGGAGCAGGGACCCCCGGCCCTGCCTACCAGTGTCTCAGGGCTCTGCACCGTCCCTGCGTCTCCTGCTCTGCTTGTCCCTTTGCTTTCGCTTCCTTTGTCATTTGTGCTGCTAATGGCACAAATAAAGAAGCCATTTGTCCCTCTTTATTACCCTGGGTGGGGAATGGAAAGAGAGGAGGTTCCCTCTGGCTCCAATGGCTAATTTATTTGTCTTGCACTAAATTCTCCAGTCTATTCTCTGTTGACCCATTGTCTGATGAATGACATATTAAGGCCTATATATAACAAAGCGAAGAGCTGGGTAATAGCATGATTAAAGAAATCTGCCACTCTGGCTGCATTTCCCAACTGTCTGTAATAAAGATGTCAGAGCCCTGAACAGATAGTGCCATAACTCGCTGGGTGCAGAGCCCGCCCGCCCGGACCAGAGACAGCGGGAACAATCCTACAAGTCCACGCTAAGGGGAATCAAGGTCAGTCCCAAGCCGGACAGCCCGCTCCGTGCCCGGCCCAGCCCTGGCCATGCACAAAGCACAAAGCCCAACACACCTCGTTCCTAACAGGTTCCTGAGCCCTTTCAAGGACAGACAGATGTCCATTTGCCAAAGTGGGCAGGAACACAACGCCTTGCTCCTCATGGGTTCCTTAAACCCAGCTTACCGCCTTCCTGGCCTGAGTTCTCCTGCCTGGGAACTGAAGCGCGAGGCAGATACCTCCAGCTCCAGCTGAAATACATGCAGAGAAGCAACACCTGGTGCCAAGGCAGCTGCAAGGAAGCACTGGCACTGCTGCGCAGCAGGCTCTGACAGAGCGCAGGGCTGCTGCCGGGCGCGGCGGGAGCCTCTCGCTGGGCACAGCCCGGCCTGCCCTCTGCAGCGACGCTCAGCAGAGCCGGGGCTCCCGAACCGCAGCGGTGCCGCGCTGCTATCCCGGCAGCGCCGGGCTCCCCGCCGCCCCGGCACAGGGATACCTGCCAGCAAAGCCCGAACGCTGCGGGCAGGCGTTGGGAAACGTAGCAAGGGGCCGGGGGAAGGCGGGAGGAAAGAGGAAAGAGCAGAGCAAGGCTCTGCGCTCGGGCTGCTCTCGGCATCTCAGCTACATCCCCCGCGCCGTGCCGAGCTCTACCCGCTTGTTTTTCCCTCTGCAACTATGACCACCCCAGGGACAGATATATTCATCGTAAAAGGGAAACTCTGAGTCAGTGCTAATTATGGATCGCTGTTCCCGCACCCTTTTAGCAACAGGCAGTAATGAAACATTAGGATAAATATGGGCATTGGGTTTTGGTGGAATTAAGAACAAAGTGCCATTTCCACATCAATTACGGAAAGGTCCCTACACCTCAGAGGCTGTAAAAAGGCGGTTTTAAGGTGGGTTAGGGGTTTCTGCCAGCTCTGCCGAGGTGCAGGGAGTCCCTGCAGCCCTGGCCCTGCTTGGCACCTGCCTGGTGAGCTCCCTTTCCCCATCTGAGGGCATCCCCATCTCAGGACTTGGCTAAACGGCTTCGAGTCCATCTGGAAATCCCATCCCAGAAAGCTCAAGGGGCTGTTCCAGGGGGGTTGTCTCCCACATCCCACACAGTGCCGCACGTTGCGAGACCCTCGGGAGCACCAGGACCAGTGTCCCCCTCCAGCTCCGGGACCTGCTTCTCTGCTTTGCCCCCATCCCAAAGGTTGCGTGGCCCTTGGGAGGCCCCAAATCACCAAGACAGGCTGCAGCAGAGCCAGGCTGCAGCGTGGCAAAGGGCACAGCAGGCTCGGCATCAACCCCGCCGCGCGGATCTCAACACCCACCTGCAGAGCCGAAACATGGCAGGGAAGGCAGCACCACAGCCTGTCACCAAGGGCGCCAGATCCTGCCTCTCACCCGGCATTTAGCCCTGGTAATGCAGGGCTAAGCACAGCGGTGCCAGCAGTGCCACAGCACCATGGCCTGTGATACCAGTAGCACCACAATACAGCGGTACCAGCGGTGCCACGGCCGGTGACACCAGCAGCACCACAATACAGTGATACCAGTGGTCCCATAGCCCAGTGACACCAGTGGCACCACAATACAGCCATACCAGCAGTGCCCAGCCAGTGACACCAGCATCCCGGTGACACCAGCATCCCACTCTCAGGCAATGCACAACAGCCCATTTGGCAGCAAGCTCCCAGCTGACCCCGCACCTCCCTCCCAGTTAAGGAGCTAATGAATAAATGAAAACAGGTGATATTCTGCTGTGCACCGAGGGCCTGAAAGCACTTAGGTGAATGGGTAGCTCCGCTGCCCTGCTGGCCTCCGATGGCAGGCTGCTTTCTCACAAAGAGAACTGCTTTCAAAGACAGTGATAAGCGCTGACACCAGAACAGGGCAGGCTTTTCAAATTCAACCTTTTTCCCTTGTTGTTTTTCTAGCTACAAACTTGTTTTCCACTCTCAGAGAGACAGTGCCAGTCCCTCCTGCTTTATTCCCAGGCAAGCAGAGTATGTGACAAGACGATAGCAATCAGCAGCAGAAAAAAACAGATAGATTTAAAGGCAGTGGGGGCCTCTGCGGCCGGGATTACAGCAGCAGGGGCTGCGACGCCGGCCAGGCGCCTTGAATGCATGGGAAAAAGCAGCCATAGAGCCTCCTTTGGTGAGATTTCAAGGAGGATTTTGAACTTCAAAGTTTATAAAAGGGGAAGGGAAGAGATGGCTATCGGGAGACAGGTTTAACCACATTAAAAGAGTCATCGCCCCCACTGAGACTTTTGCTCCACGCAGCTTTGATCCATTTTTCATCCGCACTTCCTTTCATTCCTCCCCTTTTGTTGACACATGATGGGGGAATCGATGCGGGAGCGAGCGCGGCCGAGACATGCTCTGCTTGTTAATCCTGCACCCACGGCAGCCCCCAAGCCCCATCCACTGAAATAATAGCCACGAGACTCCTCCAGTCCGGCACCCAGTTGACCTGAGCCGCCGCACAGGGCGCAGGCACAGCGAGCCCTGCCGAAAGGTCACCACACACGTCCACACAGGCTGAAATCAGCTCCGGTTATTATACGAGTGCATTCAGAAGCCAACAGGAGCCGTATTGCAGCGTGTTGGCCTGGGATGGCAGAACATCCTTGGGAAGCTGGAAGGGCATTAGGGGAGATGGCTTGGAGGAAGGAAGAGCCAGACAGGGAGAAGGAGACAACACACTTGGAATGAGGGCAGCACGCACCCTTTTAAAATAATTAATAAATGATTAATGGCATAAATTACCTTAAGATGTGTTATGACACATTGCAGAGGCATTTATAAATGTCTGTGCCTTAGTTTATAGCAGGCTTTATGCAGCCCTCGTAAACCGAAGTGTGTAAATCAATGTGGCTGTCTCTAAAATGGGTTAGAGCGCAGCTTAAAATAATTTATAAGGGATAAGGCAATTTCTGTGAGACTGTATTAATAAAGTCTTTATAAATACAATCTTTCCTCGGCCCCATGCTATTATAATTCAGTTACTGCATTGGACACTCATGGGAAGAGAGGAATCGCCGCGGCCTGAAAGGCCCCTTGGCAGGGTGAGCAGGGCGGCGGCGGCGGCAGCGCGGACGGAGGCGGCAGGGCCGCCCTTCCCGGCGCTCCGGAGCGCGCGGGGACGCGCTGCTCCGTCCTCTGCGAGCGCCGGGAGCGAACGGGAGTGAATGGGAGGGGACAGGAGCGAACGGGAGCGAGCAGGAGTGAATGGGAGCGGATGGGAGCGAACAGGAGCGAGCGGGAGTGAATGGGAGCGGACGGGAGCGAACAGGAGCGAGCGGGAACAAACGAGGGGAGAATGGGAGCGAGCAGGAGCAAATGGGAGTGAACAGGAGTGAATGGGAGGGAACGGGAGTGAGCAGGAGTGAACAGGAGGGAACAGGAGTGAATGGGAGCAAATGGGAGTGAATGGGAGCGAGCGGGAGTGAACGGGAGCAAACAGGAACGAACAGGAGCAAACAGGAGCAAGTGGGAGTGAATGGGAGCGAACAGGAGCAAGCTAACGGGAGTGAACGGGAGCAAGTGGGAGCGAAAGGGAGCGAATGGGAGCGAACAAGGGGAGAAGGGGAGCAAGTGGGAGTGAATGGGAGTGAGCGGGAGCGAACGGGAGCGAACGGGAGCGCGGCGGCACGGGGGCCGGCTGTCGCTTACCTCTGCAGGCGCCCGCGGCACCCAGGTGGTAGATGGCGGCCGCCACGCGCCACACGGCCTGCTGCTCCTCGGCGGTGACGCCCAGCGCGCCCAGCGCCGCCCGCAGCCGCGCGAACGCCAACGCCGCCGCC